AAAATTAAAAATTAATATTTATTATATTATAATATAATATAAAAAAAATAAATATTTAAAAAACAAATTAAAAAAATGTCACATATTATCAGGTTTATCATTTTGTGAAACAATTTAAAAATTCAAAAAAAAAGTATAAAAAAGTATAAAAAAGTATAAAAACGCGTGTAAAAATATTTAAAATATTTTCTTTTATGCATTTCTGCATTTAAACTTACTTCTTCTATAAGTTCTTCACATTCTTCATCGAAGAAAGTATAGTTTTCTTCCATTTTTCTCAAAAAAAGACACGTCTCTAAAAAAAAATTTTATTAAAAAGACCATTTTTCTCAGTAATATAGATTGATAGCTGATCAATTCGTGTTATGTATGAAAACATATCACATGATATTAATTAATCAACCGTACAGCCACAAAAAAAATCATACAGTCACACTAATTTTTATTCGTACAGTACAAGATAGCGTTTTCGTACAGTACAGTTTATATGTATACTCACATGATTCTACTCTGCTTTAGCCTACCCCTTTTTTTGGTATCTCGACTGTATCACGTGCTATAACGTTTTAAAAATTAAATTATTTCAGTCTTTAAGTGACATGCACTATAATGATAATGAAGAGATTATTTTTCTGTAAATAATTTGTATTACATGAAATTTATAAATAATAAATATAATATCCTGGATATTTTACAAATTTTGCATTACAAAATTATAATTTTCCATGTAAATTTTCAAAAGGGGACGTTAAATTTAAGTATCAATATCCCTATAAGTTAAATAGTGAAACTTGTCAATTTATTTTTGTATAGCTTTGACGATATTATATTCCTAAAAACAAGAACAAAGAAAAGATCTTTATCTGTATTTGTACTTTATACAGATATGATAATCAGTTTAGTGTATAATCTGTATAATCAAATAATTACCGTAATTTATGGGCCCTCCCCTATGCAAAGTATGAACCAGTTAACAATATTGGAAATGACTTGAGATATACTGTATACATATTCTTTGTTTCAACGCATACATTAACTTTTTTCCTAATCTATTTTTTTGGGGGAGGCATTACGGATTACGTATCTGGCATTATATTTTATTTGTAACAATAAAGCAAGTATTCGTGTATTTTTTTCTGGAATTTGATTTTAATAATTTTTTGACGACGGGCCGCAGCAGGTTTTTATGTAATGTGTAAAGTTATATTATCGTGTGATATGTACTATGGAAATCTAGAAATCTACGCGTCGTTTTCTACTTAATCATTAATGGAAGAAATAACTAATTTTTTCAAGAAAACGAGAACATCGAATTGGTCGTTAATAAACTTTTACATTACAGGTGGAAACAAGATGATTTTTCATATGATAGAGCTAAAGAGTACTCGGATTACAAAAAAGAAATAGAAATATTAACTGGCCGTGTTGATTATATAAAAAAGGCAAAATAATGTTTAGGTACTTTTGAAGTTAAGTTTATACGCCTTTAGCTATTTGAGATTGGACAATTTCATGTGTTCAAGGACTAGAATACGTTCTGGTCACTGAGACAATAACGTGACGTATTGACAACCTCCGAGTAAGCTGGCTGATAGTGGATTACGCGTTCCCTCGGCATCCTTGAACTAAAAGCTAAAATACGTTTCGGTCATTGAGACAGTAACGTGACGTATTGACAACCCCAAGTAAGCTGGCTGATTACGTGATGATTACGTGTTCCTCGGTGCTCTTACATGTTATTGTCAAAAGAAACTAGTTTAGAAAAGGACTATTAACATTTTTGTTTTCTAATTATTAGAATGAAAGATCTTCCGATAATGTAAATAAATTCTGGATAACGGTTGACGAAGAACTAATTAATAGCAAAATCAAACATGAAGAGGTTTATAAACATATATTAATTTATATAAAATACAAACTGATAAATAACGATTTTTTATTATGAATAGAACGAATATGATTTAACTTTGACAACTAATGTCAAAAGTGTGTGGCAAAGGTTAGTATCGTGGATTTAAACCTATTGAAAGTTTATTTTATTTTAATTTTGCAAGTTTATTTCCAGAAAATAATGGATGACGATCCAAAAAATTCTTTTATTGTATCCAGAATAACCGATGAGAGCAACTTGAATGACACTGGAACGCCTGATGAAAACAATTCAGATAAATCTTATCATCCAAGTTCGGGATGATTCTTATATTGAATTGAAAAAAAGGAAAGCTAATTATAACTATGATTGGTTCACTGGACTAGACATTAAGAAATCGGCATTAAGCGAGGGTGCAAAAAAGGTAATATTTAAACTTTTATTTAGATTTATTCAGAAAAGATTTTAATTTTTCTTTTTGTACACAGTGGGTTATCGATACATTTGATGTTTCGAGTTTATTGCTAGAATATCGTGATATGTCTGTTCAAAAAGCTTTCGAGAATAAAATAGAAGAGGTTGATGAAATACTGTAAGTTATAAACTTTTAAATCTTTTATATGCATTTGATTGTGATATTTTTTTTTTTAAAAAAAATTCTCCCATGATTGTTGTAGTTCCTTGAATTATTTGAACAATGATTATCTTCAATGATTGAACCCAAATTATTAAACATTATTTTCAACAATATCAAAAATGAATTTTCTTCCTACTATTTGTCGGATGATGATGTCATAAAATGGCAAAGGTATGACATTTCTGATATGATCTTTAGTATAGTGATTATTCATAATAAATTATTTATTAAATAGATCGCAAGTGAGAATTTTGGAAATTGCAAGCCATTATTGAGAAAATGGCAAAAAGATCTCGATGATGATCAGGATGATATAATTTTAGAAATATTCAAATCAATGTGAGTATTCGCAAGGCTTGAAAATTGTCATATATTATTTATTTTTAATTTAATATTGTTATATTTTAGAATAAACAATTTTAACCTGGAAGTATATAGGGAAGGTTTAAAGGAGGATTCTTTCGTGCATGAAGTTTTTGAACCCGTTGATCAGACCATTTTTTTGTGACATTAATTTTAAACGTGAATGGTAATTTTTTGACATATATTTTTTTTTATATTATATTGTAATTATAATGATTGAAAGTTGTTATTGAATTATTTTAGGTCAACAGATGTTCTGGAAGCATCTGCACACAGAAAACACAAATTTGACCCTTCATTATATGGACGAAAAGCAGATTTTTCAATTTATGTACCTGTTAAAGGTAAAAAATTTTATTTACTTACATCGGAAATAAAATCTGCTAATTATATGTTATCAAATATAAATAAAATTACTTTGGAAGATTGTGATTTCGTAAAATTGGGGAACGAAATGAAAGATATTTTGGACAAATGTATTGAAGATGGAGTTAATGATAAAAAATTTAACTATCTGTGGTTTATTTTTTATAAAATAATGATTATATTAATATCCATAATCTAATTTACATTTTCTTGTGTTTTTGTAAATAGGTTTTCAATGTCAGCTATTTGCAATGGATTTAAAATACGAGGCTGTATACTGGATGATCCTTTTAGGGAAATTTTATCTTCCTAAAAATAATTCGGATCTTGGAGTGCTTTCTGCTTCAGTTGAACGTCTTATGCAAATGAAGGTTAGTATGCAATATATAAATATTATTGGATTTTATTTTTAGTTTAACTTTTTTCTTTTTTAAAGACTATAATGACCTCTTCTACCGAAATCTGCCAAAAAAATATTCAAAACTCATCTAAATGTAAAACAATTCAAAGAAACACAACACGACACGACCTTCTTTCCATACACCAATAAAGGTTCCCCAGAGGAATTAACATAATCTCTTAATTACATTTATAATATGTTTTTCCATATAAAATTAAGTTATTGGAGAAAATTATTTTTTCTTCCAATTAATTGATATCTTGCATGTTTTGGTGAAATATCTCTTTATTTTATCACCATTGCAATCATTTTTTTATGAAAATTGACACATGCACTACCCCTAACCTAACCCATGCAGGTAAGAATCTGTGCATAGGTTAAGATGTTCATGCTCTTATTAGTTTACGGCCTGATTTACTTTATCCCTTAGATAAGAATCAATATTGAAAGTTATTTTTCCTTATTACCTGAAACAATTGGTGGAACAATTTTTTCTTGCGGGTTTAGTGGTAAAAGGTATTAGGTGTTGTTAAAATTTACCAAAAATAAGGGTAGGTAGATTTTTTTTCCTTGCATGTACATGGGTAATGACCATATGATTTTTATCTTGGATATTTTTTTACTTCGTCGCCGCCACGTGATTAAATTTGATTGTATAATTTTTTATTATTCCTTAAACCGTCAGTTTTCACATGCTACTGTGCAAATTTGCCCGCTAGACGGTTTAAGAGATAACAATAAAATTTAAAGAAATCTATTGCGCATATGTTAACAACCTGACGAAACGTTGCACAAATTTATTACAATTATTATTATTATCAATGAACAAATTGTGAATGAATACTAAATTGGTATGACTACCTTGTTAAGCAAGATATTAGAATTCTTAGAAGAAAAAAATTTATTTAGAAGAGAAAATGATGTATTTTACAAATAAATTGATTAATGATAGGTTATCTATTAATATTACTATGTATATATATATCTAAATTTATAATCTGAATTATTTATCTTTCTATTCTTGAATGTCATGTTTGGTTTCTAATAAATGATGAGTATGATCACATGCATTATCATTATTATTGTTGTTATTGGTAGTACAAACTTGAATACTTTTAAACCATTCATCGTCTAAAATATCTTTCATCGTGGCACGTTTTTGAGGATCAATTTCCAGAATCCGACGTATTATAGGTTGTGCTGGTTTGGGGATTTTTTTTATTAATCTTTCAGGTCTTTTCAAATAAGCTTTAAATGTTTCGTCAGAATTTCTGGACATTAGCCAAGGAAATCTACCCAAATGCATACAAACGAATGTTACACCAATCGCCCAAATATCTGCAAGTCTAGGATCGTAATGATCTTGAATATAGGATTCCGGACATATGTAAGGGTCTGAACCACATGGTCCTATTATTTATAAATAAGGAAATGTGTATTAGTACAGAGTTACAAAATAAATAAAATAAAAAAATAAAAATAAAAATAAAATAGAATATAATAATAAATACCATGAAATAACATTATCTTGTCATCAAAATGGTATTTGAAAACGACCGAACATCCGAAATCAATAATCTTTATAATTCCTTGTTCATTCACACATAAATTATCTAATTTAAGATCTCTATGAGCAATTCCCATTTCATGCAAATAATTAACTCCATTAATAATTTGCTTTAAATCACAAGCAATTTCCTTTTCACTCATTTGTTTACTCATAACAGCTTCGAATAAATCGTAAGGAGCATATTCCATTATTTCGTATAATCGATTATTTTCTTGTATAATATCTAATGTTTCAATTATATTTTCATGATGAAGAGTTGATCCAATACAAAATTCTGCTATTATTTTTTTACGATATAATTTTGTGGATTCAAGAGGATATCGTTCACGAAATTGTTTTGCTGCAAATTTTTTATTATCAGATGTACGATGAATTAATCTTACTGTTCCACCAATACCTGAACCTAAAACTTTACCCCATTGACCATATTTTTCTATTTTAATATTATTATAATTTGTATAATAAGGTGAAATGTTTTTTGATTTCTTTACGAAAACTTGTTTAATTTCTTTAAAAAGAGATAATTTTTTTATTAAAGGTTTTTTAAAGATAAATTGAGGTGGAGTTGATTGAGTTGAACCTGAATTACTTGAATTTGTTATACTTGAATCAGTTGAAGTAATTTCAGAGATTCCAGTACTACTAAGTTGAGGAGTTACTACGCTTGATGATAAATCATCATCATCAATAATATTATCATTATCATTATCATTATTATTATTATTATTACTGTTGTTAATGTTATTTTCGTTATTTATCACGGGATCATAAAGTGAATTATGTGAAAGTTTGGGATATAATAATTGTTTATTATATAATATTAAAGAATTATCAGAATAAAGATTTGGTACAGAGGTAGATAAAGTGTTTCTTATGATATCATTATTATTATTATTTTTACATTTAATATTAATATTATTATTGTTGTCTTCGTTGTTGAGAAGATGATCTTCTACCCATTCCTCAAATACATCATTATTATCATCAGTACGAATAATTATTGGAGGAGAAGTTAATTGTATCTTTCCTAAAGAATTTTTCATCGATAATTGACCAGGTAATTGTTCTGTAGTAATAGAAGGAAAAATACTTGCTGTCATTTTTAAAGAATATTATTTTTATTTTTATTTTTTATTTTTTATTTTTTATTTTTCAAGAGGATTTGAAGAAAATTTTTTTTTTATTAAATAATGATTTTTATTAAATAATAATGATTTTTATTAAATAGTGATTTTTTTTTAAATGATGATTTTTTAAAAAATGACACGAAAAAATTTTTGAGCTGTATAAATAAAAATTTATATCAAATTACAATATAAATAAATACAATAACATTTCAAGTTTTTCCTTGGATAAATATATTTGTAAAAATTTTGACGTCGGGTAATTAATTCCACCGACCCTTTAATGTTCCTTTTTTATCCTAAAATCAATTATAGGATATATGGAATCTAACCTTTTAATGATTTGGGTAATGTTAATTATTTAAGTAAATGTTAATGATTGTGTAATAATTAAATAATTAAAATTAATAATTGTTATTATTGATAATTATTTTGTAACAAAGATAAAAGATAAACTTTTTTTTTGTTTTTTTTTTAACTAACAGGCTTAGAGTAATGGTAAAACATTGATCCGCAATTTCAAATAAATGAAACGTGCATATAAAATATAAATAGAACAATCGGAGATAAGGATTTACCGGATATTCCGGTGTTTTTTTGTTTTTTTGTCGCATGAAATCTTTTTTTTAACTGATTGTACAATCAATCAAATAGCTCCGAAATTGTGACAATTACAATTTGATTACTATTAATAGTTACAGTTTTGTTTATGAACGTACTGCGCGTACTGCGACGTACTGCGACAATGCATTTGTGGTATGTACTGTATATTAAAAAAAAAACAAAAGAACGCGTCTTTAATAATTATTTTTCATTTCTTACTATCTTTACTCTTATTCAATTATATATGTAAAAAAACTACCACTTCCTCTTTCTCTCTCTTTCTAAAGTACGTTGTAAAAGAAAGTAATGCGCATGAAAGTAAAGTTTTAATTTAATGTTTTTTTTATTCGCTTTTTTCATTCTTTCGCCCCATTCTCGAAGCAATAAAAATATTCAGTAAAAATCAGAATCCCTTTTATCATCCCTCTACAAATATACACATAACCCCTTGGTCACCCGTGCAAAAAAAAAAAAAAAGAATTCCACTGAACGACTTGAATGGTTGTTATATGTGAATTTAATATTAATGTATGCGTTATATAAATAATAAATAAAAAGGATAATTATTTTAACGAAAAGATTATTTTTTTTTTTTTTACAAATGAATAAGAATTTCTTAACAAAATGTCAAATCTTGTACTTCATTCCCAAAAATTGATAATTCAATATATAATTTTCTTGGAAATGCTTAGCACATCACATGTTCTTGTTTCAATTGGAATTTTGGCGCGATTTTTTTTTTTTACACATATAACTATTTATGGGCAAATGTCACCTGAAGTTCGTTTAATTTCTATATTTCAAAGTTCGTAATGATTACGATTCCTAATACCTTTTACTGGCTTTGCGGTATAGTGAGTGGTGCCGGTCTTATTTATGTGGCACAATATATATACAACCGAAAACCAAAATATGTTAAGAAACGAACTGAACAAAATTCTAGTTCAAACTTAATAAACCTCCTTTATTCGATTTCTGACGACCAAGCAAAAAGAGGTTATAACTTTGTTCTTCAAGTATTAAGACTTATATCTTATATACATACATATATATATATATTTATTTATTTATTAATTTTTTAAAATTAATTAATTATTTATTTATTTTTATTTACAGAAGGATATGTTCACCGTAAGCATAAAACTTTTTTACATAGCCTTATTGAAGTCATTTTGAATTTGAATTAATTTTTTTTTAATTTGATTAAAAAAAAATAGGTGGAATAACATGTAATAACTGCAATATGGTACTTTCCGCGAGTATTTTTATTTCAATTTTCTCAAGTCATGGAAATAATTAATAATTAATAGAGTTAAATAGAACCCTATTAGAGGAGTTCGTTATAAATGTGCAAACTGTGTCGACTATGATCTATGCGAATTTTGTGAACAAAAAGATGACGTACATCTTAATCTTCACACCTTTTTGAAAATAAAAATTCCTATTCCATCATTGGCTAATCCAAGAAAAGCATTACTTAACGTATTTTATCCAGGTTTTAAATTAATAATAATAATAATAATGATATATTTCTTTTTTTTTTTTAAAAAAAAAAAAATTCAATTATTTTCAACAATTTTAATATCCTAAGGTTTAAAATGAGAGAGAGATATATATTAAATTGATTCTTAATATTCTAGGTGTAGGTCAAGGTTCCCATACACAATTTACGAGTGTTCAAAGAATACGTGATTTAGTGAAAGAAACACAATGTATGAATGTATTAAATCTATTTTATTTTATTTTTATTTTTTTTTTCCATATATTAATTTATGTTTTAAATATTTATTGCTATCATTATTATATAATCATTTATATAATTGAAGTTCAAAAAGCAGAAATTGATGCACTTTATGATCAATTCATGTCTTTGGTGAATGTTCATGATGGTCAGGGTGGTATCGATCGATCTACATTTGAATATTGTCTTGGACCATTAGGAATTGAGAAGAATTTACTTACTGAACGATTATGGAAATTCTTTGATAAGGATGAAGATGGAATAATTAGTTTTAGTGAAATGGTTTGTGGACTTTCGGTTTTTTGTAAGGGAAGTGATGAAGATAAGATCAAATGTATGTCTGATTTTATAATAATAATATAATAATAATAATAATAATAATAATAATAATAATAATAATTGAAAATTAATCAAATGTAATGAAATTTAAAATTTTAATATTTATCTATTAATTCATTTTAGGTGCATTTAAAGGTTATGATCTAGATGGCGATGAATTAATTAGTAAAGATGAAATTCGTAAAGTTTTTAAAGCATACCTTGAACTCAATCATGAATTTACTAAAGAATTGATTTCATCAATTGAAAACGATTTAACCAATAATCAAATATCATTTGATTTGTCACTCGAGAATGAGATTAATAAATGTTTCAATCAAAAAAGTTTTGAAGAACTTTCAAATTTTCCTGTAATTGAATTGTTGGGTGAAGAAGCTCTCAATGAAATTGTTGATAAAATATTTAATAATATTGATACTTACGGAAAAGGATTTATTTCATATGATGAATTTAAGGAATATTCACAATCTATTGATATGTCCTTGGTAAACTGGTTTGGAGCTTTAGGCAGGTTTGTGAAATGTTATATTTTATTATTGATGTGTTAATTATTCAATTTTAATTATATTAATCTTTTCTTTCAAATATACAGTATATTTTAAAATACATATTTTAATATATACAATTTACGTGACAATTATGTTATTTGTGAATGGTTATCATTTAGACTATAATCCATCATTCTAGATTTTATTGATTTTTATTGTTATAATTTTTATTTGGGATTATATCACAAAGTTTGAAATCCAAAATCATGAGATATTAAAATTATAAAAATCATAGGATTATTATATTACAAACTATAATTTAATAAATAATGGAAATGAATAATTCCATAAATTAGATAAATTAATTCTTTTTAGCACCCATTTTCTTAAATTTTTTTTCTAATTTAGTACTATCTTGAGGAGGTTTTTTATTTCTATTTTTATTTTTAACATTGGCCGTTTCATAATATTGAACACCAATTTTTTGTTTATTTGTTTTTAGCCGTGGTTCTTTTATTCGTTCTACCTCATCATCACTGTCATTCCTCTTCCCTGTGAAATATTAAATTTATATATATGTATATATTTATTTAACATCTTTTCTAAAGAATTCAAATTAATCAAATTTATGCATCATGTACATACTTTTTCTTTTTTTGCGGTTTTTATTGTTTACGATCGGGATTTCTTTTTTCGATTTATTGGTAGTTTTCTGATCTGAATGAGTTTTTTCAATATCTTCCTCATCAGAAGAATGTTGAATTTTATTTTCGTCAAAATCTTTTTCATCGGAACCCTTCTCATCAGAAAGGTGTTGAGTCTTTTCTTCTTCATCTTTCTCATCAGTTTTAGTAGTTGATTCATCTGGGCTTTCATCTTTCTTTAGATCATCTTGTAGAAATTCGGTAGTAACATGAATATTATTAAATTCTTGTTCAACACCTTTTAGTATTTTCTTTTTCTAAAATAGAAACAGTATTAAAAAAAAATTCTTATTATGATAAAAATTTTTTCATTTACACGTAAACATTTTAAACAACATATTTCTTTAAGAGTCAAATAAATATCGAGAAAGTAAAATAAATACAAGAATATCAAGAATAAAAATGAATATTGTAAAGGAGTTTAATTCGTGATTCGTTAGAAACGGAAAGGATTTATATAATGGAAACTTATTGATGTTGTCATTTGAAACTCAAAATATATTTAAATCAGAACCATTGATTTTTATGTTATTATTGGAGAAAGGGACTTTTATAAGATAGTTCTTGTGATATTCTTATTCCGAAACGAGATTATGGTTCTTATATGTAGATCTCTTTCCGTTTATCGCGAATCACGAATTAAAAATAGATACCTCGGCATCGTTTTCATCTATGTTTTCATTATTATCGTTTTCATTCTCGACTAATGGCAAAGTAAAATATGGGATTTTACCACGTAACCAATCATTTAGAATCATTTTAGATACTGTCGAAATATCGGGTTCTCCTTTTTTCAGTAATTTTCCGGATTTTTGTGCAATTTGATAAAGAAAATCTAAATGATCATTCCAATCACGTAAATTATAAGTACGTTTCAGGTATTCTTTACGAACTCTTTCCAAAATAGGAGGAACAAAATCTTCGGGAGTTTTTAAATTTTCTATTCGGACCTTTGTTATAACAAAGTTAATAATAAAATTGGTTTCATTTAATTGAATAATGAAATTAAACAAAATGAAAATCAAAAGGACATGTACATACCACTCCTCTTAGCACAATATCCGTCTCAGAATCGTCATCGGATGGTGGCACTATCCCAGGACAATCAATTAGATATATTCGTTTCATCAAAGTAATGTATCGCCAAACCTAATTATATTAATATATATATATATATATATATATTATTTATTATTTAAAAAAAGAGAGGGACAATACAGACAATTATTCAAGATTTACCTTTGTTTCACCAGGAATAGGGGCAACACTACAGACTTTCTTACTTCTTAGGGTGTTGATAATAGAACTTTTACCAGTGTTTGGATATCCAATAAAACCAACACTAATTTGTTTCTTGTCGGAATGGAGATTTGAAAATTGTCGTAATAATTGAATCAAAGATCCCTTTCCAAAAGAATTATTTATACTAGCATGAAATGCCAAAGTTGGATACTCTTTAGACAAAAGTCCCACCCATTTTGTCTGTAAAATGAAGAAAAAAACATTTGTTTTTAAATTTATAATTCGATACTAAGAAAAGAACTAAAATGATTTGGTTGCTTTTCAACTCTTTTATCGAATCACATGATCCTCTATCAGAATTAATTTAAAACAAATAAATTCAAGTCGAGGGTATTAATTAATATGCCATAACTATAACGAATATCTTCTACTATTTAAAACTATTATTATTTAAAAAAAGATATTCTGACTTTTATTATGGCTAAAGAATTATAATTCGTAATAAAGAAATTAAGAATATTTAAATATTTCTAGTTATTTACCGTTACCCACGTAGGGATGAGATCACATTTGTTTAATAAGAATATCAAATGTTTATGTTTAGCTTCTTTTTTAATATATTGCTCCACGACCTTACATCGTGTTCCTATCGGATCTCTTGCATCCAATACGTGAATTACGACATCAGACGAATCAATAACCTAATAAAACAATTTATCAATCAATCAATCAATAAGTGTCAATCAAATAAGCTATTATTATTATTTTTTTTTTTTTTTAAAAAAAAAAAAGGATTTACTTTATACAATTCATTCCAAATTCGTTTCGATTGACCTTTAGAAAATACACTATCTCTTGCTTCTTCAGTCCAATCTGTCACTAAATTAGATATAAGCGATTGATCACTTTTTTCATCATATTTTTCCAAGGAGTTATTAGTTTCAGAAATCATATCCTTCATTGTACCAAATTTTAATTTTGGTCTCTTTCTTTGAGCTTTTGGACCAAATGTATCAATAAATGGTTCTGTTTCCACCATATGCATCCGTGCTACCTTATCAATTTTTAATTCAATTCATAAAAAATTTATTATTACTAAAAAGATCAAATTATAATAATAAAAATAAAAAAAAAAGAATGTTATTACTAACCTTTGTTGCATCAGCCAACAAACTCATTGGCAATTTATTTTGTTTAAGTAAAACCTGATATGGATCATCAACCTTTCCACCCAAAGATTCCCGAAATGATTCTAATTCTTTTTGTCCAATGACTCTAGTGTTTCCTTTAATTTTATCGAAAAACACAATTAATTATCTATTATAAATAATTCATTTTCCGACAAAATCATTTTTAACCAAAACTTACCAAACCAACGTCTATTTGGTTGAACTCTTCCTACAGTAACTTCTCTACTTTGATATAGAGCTGATTTGATAATCTTTCCCTTTTCATTTCTTATTGGCTTGCCCCCCTTAAGCATATTAAGAAAATTGACCTTTTTAGCATCTCGATAAAAGTTCTCTCCTTTAACCTTTAGGTTGGTCCCCAATGATGTTCCTCCATTTTGATTCTTTTCTTTAGCAATTCTGTTTTTTTCTTTTTTCGCTTTTCCCATTTATAATATTTTGATTGATTTTTTTTTTTTTTTTTTTATTAATCAGATAAATCTTTGATAAGAAAGATCGAAATTGTACAACCTTAAAACTGTTCACGCAATCACATAAATTGACAAAATCTTTTTACAAATTTTCCGTAATAACAGCACGAGTCATGGTAAAAAAAAAAAGATTAAACCAATTTTTATGTTAATTTATCTTTCAAATAATAAAAGTTACATGTTTGCTTTGTAGGAAATACAATCGCTTCGTATAGTACCCTCTTCACGACCTGATCCTTCGTCCGTAACTAAAAACCTTGCAGCCACATCAAATTCTTTTGGTGTTCAGGATACTTTTCGTTATGGAACAAAATCCCTGCATTCTGAACTTTCGCCTTCCCATCCTCTTGAAAACGTACTTAATAAGGTTTGTATTATTTTTAAAATTCCAAATTCATTTGATTAAGTTGCTAATGATAATTTTTTGAAAATTAACTACAGTGGGAAGAAACACAAACAAATCTTAAATTAACTATGCAAAAAAGACTCTATGGTATTCATGCGCCAATAAGACATCTTATGGAACGAAGCATCGTATCCAAGGTAATAAGATGATTTCATTATTCGCATCCTACATTTTAAAAAACGTTCGTTCATAATTAATATAATTAATATATTGTTTTTTTAGATGCAACGTTTACCAGTGTTACCATCATCTAATCTTGGATTGGAAATTTTAATGGGAAAAGATGAAACAATTGAATTTGAAGATTTCTTGAATGGTATTTTTGGTTTATATTTTTTGAATTCATTTATAATTAACTAAAATATTAATAAAATATTAATAAAAATATTTTCCTTGGAATTAAATAAATTAAATAGATCCAGATATGTCTACCGAAACGATGGATGTGCACGGATCAATGGAACATAGATTAGGAATTAAGTTTTAAACAATAATAAAATTATAGATATTGGAATTCGATTTCGTTTTATTAAATTAATCAATTTAAAATATAACAAATTTTTTTAATATTGGAAAAAAATCAAGAATTATTTTAATTTATCCATTATTATTATTAATGAAATTTTGGAATTGTTCATAGGCAACATCTAAATTATCATTCACCACAATTAAATCGTGCGATCCTTCTTCAGCTGCATAAGCTAATTCCTTCTTTGCAGCATCGAGACGCGCTTGTATAGCGTCTTCAGATTCAGTGCCACGATCACGAAGACGTTTTTCAAGAACTTCCAGGGATGGGGGTGCAATAAAAACGAAACGCGCGTTAAGATCAGTCTTCTTGACTAATTTCACTCCCTATTAAAATGAATGTAGAATGAAAGCAAAATGGTGTGTTAATAATGACAATAATAATACAACAACAATAATAACAATGATAATACAATATTAATAATAACAATAATCATAATAACAATAATAATAATAATAATTGATTGCAAATGTACCTCCAATTCAATATCCAAAATACAAAATTTTCCTTGTTGGGCAACTTCTTTTACAGCAGCAATACTAGTGCCGTATAAATTATTCGAAAATTCTGTATATTCTAGGAAATAATTTTTTTCGATGAGTTCTTTAAATTTCTCGCGAGTTACAAAGTGATAATGTACGTTGTCTATTTCTCCTGGTCGTGGTGAACGTGTAGTGTCTAAAAGAAATTCAAAATGAAAAAAAGAAGAAAAAATAAATAAATAAATAAAAATAATAATATTATTATTATATATTATTATTATTATTATAATAACAAACGTACGTGAGACACTGAAACCGAACTTGTCAGGATAATCTTGAAAAAGTCGTTTAAGTAAGGTCGATTTTCCGGAACCTTTATGTTATAATAATTATAATAAAATAGTCAAAAGGCATTCTTAAATTCGATCAATAAAATAGATAAAAAATACCTGATGGTCCAGAAACAACTATCGGTCGAAGTTCTAGAAAATTCACATTTCAATTATTTATTATTATTATTATTTTTTTTTCAAAATTCATCAATTTATATTTATATTATTTTCATATCTACCAGTCATTTTTTTTAATTCAGTAAAGGTGCGATAAATAAATACTTTTCTTAAAATGGTTGATGAAGGTTTATGGAAGAAGTAAAAAAATGACATTCCAAATACGGAATTCCGAATTTTCGGGGATTTTTGACGAAAGATTTAAAGGAATTAATGATGTCATGTGATTGGATGTGAATAAATTTCTTTATTTCATTTTAAACTTTATAGTAAATAATATAAATAGATAAGTTTCTAAAAAAAAAAATCGTTTATTTTAATTCATAAAAAATATTGATTATTATAAAGATGTTATTAAATATATTAAATCTTTATTGTTTGGAATGTACGCGTAAGATATACCAAAATTACATTAATGATGCATCACTAGGTAAAATATTTAAAACGTAACTAGGGAAAGTTTTTTGATAATGATTATTAGATAATGATCACATGTTATAATATTATATTTTATAATGTGGAAAAATGAAATAATGAAATAGAAAATAAACATAATGATTCAATTGGATAAAAATTGTCTAAAAAACAGTCAAAAGAATAGTTAAAATAAATGTAAATTTATTAAACACAATTACCTTTTCATAACTATTAATCACTATAAAATAATAACTAATATATTAAATAAATATATTTATTTGTAAATATAAATACAATAAGTTTCTATAAAACATAGGAAAATAGAATCTCATTATTTCAAAAAAAAAAAATAAATACTTATAAATTGTGTTTTGTGTCTTTTATATAATTTAATACAGATATTAATTAAAACTTATGTTATTCTTTGCTTTTAAAGTATTCAAATTTTTAGAATAGGAAAATAAAATACAATCTTCTAGAATTTCCTTAAGACATTGATCTTATAATATCAAGTTCATTCAGAAATCATGTTACCACTATTATTATAATCACTACTATCACCAAATATATTTGTCAAAATCTCAAGTTCAAAATATAAATTTCTTCTTTTAAAGTTAAACCACTACTTTATTTTAAACATTGGAAACTTCAAGAGATATAGATTATATTTCTTACTGAAGTGATCAAGTTCATCAGAAAAATTAATTAGGTGTAAAAGTAATAATCACATGACCTATAAACTTTACATCCAAAAAATTAATTTTTTGACTTTGGACATAATTTACATGATAGAAAGTGATTTTCTACTAAGGTTTTTATATAACAAATCAAAAGCCTTAATTATTGGTCACAAGATTATATGGTTTTATTCCTATAGTATCAATATTTGTATTCAAATCTGAATATCTGTAAAAATTTAACTGTAACTTTTTCATATTTCTATTTGTTACAAAAATTTACAGCAAAATTACAAAAATTTACAAAAATTTACAACATAAAGTTATAGATAAATTTTTCACAAACATTCAATTTAACACGAATATCTCTGTAAATATCAATGCTATATGAATGAAACACATATTATCTTGTAGCCAATAATCAGGACTTTTAATCTATTATAGAAATGTCTTAGTAGAAAATTGTTTTCTGTTACGTAAATTGTGTTCAAAGTCAAAAAAATAATTTTTTGAATGTAAAGTTCAATATGTTATATCTAATTATTTCTGATGTTATAGAATGGTTAAAAAAAATTGTAGTTGCTTATAGAAATAAAGTTTATCAGTTTACCTTTAATTTTTCATTTTCAAATTCAATATTAAGAGTTATACTAGAAATTAACTAATTAACTAATTTAAAAGGGAGAGTTAGGTTATATTTAGTTATGTAATATACACTATCTACTCAAAAGTTTAGGACCACCTAAAAAATTAATGGAAATTGTGATTATTTTATTAATTAATATTATAATGTACTTCTAAAAAATCATATATCATAGTCTATTAAAAAAAAAACTATTACTATAATTATAAATATATTTTATAAATTATCAGATCTTTTATTATTATAATAATTTTTGTTATTTTTTAATAAAATAAACTATAACAAGTTAACTGATAATAAAAAAAAATTTTTATATATAAAATCTATAAATTTTATCTATTTATAAACTTTTATAATATAACAATTAAACAAAAAAAAATTCAATTTGAAAGCTTGTGAAATTAAAAAATTTAAAATATTATTAAATCTAATTTTCTTAAAAATAAATAAATAATACATATAATATTTCAAAAAAAAATTAATATAATAACTATTAATATCTTGTAGGATATCTTTGGACTACTATTATGGCTTTAATTTGATGTTTCATACTTGTAACAAGTTTTTGATAAACTTTTATCTAAATTTATAACTAACATTTTTAAAAGATCTATTTTAATTTTCTTAAATTTTTTGGATTATCCATTTGTGCTCTAATGTTACATTCAAGTTTATCTCACAGATATTTAATTAGATTAAAATCAGGATTTTGTCTAGGCCACAGGAGCTGAGTTATCAAGATCTTTTTCATAAAGGTTTGTGTTTCTATACTTTTATGAATTGGTGTATTATCTTGTTGAAAAAAGTATTCACTATTTTCTTTACAAATTCTTTTAAAAATGATATTACATGATATCTGAAAATCTTTTTTATATATTTCTTACTATTGATTTAGCCATTAATTCTTATTAAGGAACCTAATCCATATCACAAGAACATCATTATGTTATCTTTACTATATTTTATAATTAGTACAAGATAGTTCACATCATGACTTTCTTTTGAAAAACATTATACATGAATTTTTGAATCACATTGGAATAAGTTAAACCTGAATTTATCACTCCATATGACTTTTTTCAATTATTTAATATTCAAAAACATATTTCATAACTTCAAATTAAACATATTATCCAATTACATTTACTAATATATAGCTTTCTAAAGGTAACACAACTATGATATTACATTTCATATAGTGTACATGATTATGATATCACATTTTATATAGTATACACTTTATAGTACTTCTGTTCATCACCTCTTCTGTTAATTTATTAAAATTTTTTTTTATTTTTTTCTGCTAAATCATGACGATTTTACATAAGAACAATATTAAGGTGACATTTATCATGTTTACTTAATTTTTTTGAATGTTCACTTCATGAAATAACTGTTAAAACATATGTATTGTAATATTTAACTATAATATTATAAATAGTGATCTTTTCATAGCCAGTTTTCTGTGAAATAATTCTTTTTGAGCTTCCAGCTTCATGATATCAATAATTTTATCACATTCGAAAGTTGATAGTTTTTTTTTTGACTATTTAACAAAAACAAAAAAAAAAACTATGGAAAACAAATTGTATATATGATGATCTATGTTGATTTATTATTATTATGATACATAGTTGTTATTTTATTATACAAGATTTTATTATTGTTATATATTTATGAAAATTGTTAAAGTGGTTCTAAACTTTTGAATAGGTAGTATATATGTATTTAATATAAGACTATAAATATAAAATTATATATTTAAAATTACATTACTATAATAACTATTAATACTATATTAAGTAAACTTGTAGAGGTATTTAATATATACGTACTGTAAAATATTTAGAGTAATAACTTTAAAATTAAGTATAGTTAAATTAGTTTAATTTTAAAATTTAATTACTTATTGTTATTTAATTTTAATATCAATAGGTCTAAAAATTTATAGTATATATGTGGTAGATATTTCTATAAATTTACTTAGTAATAATTTTAAATAAAATATTAGCTTTAAAAATAAAAAGTTTAATATATAAAATATAATTTTTAATTTTGTATTTATATAATTTTCTAGTCAATCAAAATTGATTATTAAATGAGATATACATGTTATCAAAAGTAAAAAATCTTTAATTTGAATTATAAAAATATAAAATAATTTTTCTTTATAATACTTCTTTGATTAAAGATTAAATATACAAGAGAATAGGTTTTTATATATACTAGTTGAAAATTTAAATACTACACTTATTAGATAATATATAAATAACAAATAAGTATAATATTTATAAATTTTTAACTAGTAAAATAGAATTCCATATGATTATTGAATCATATCATCTCAGATGTTATATAAGCAAGAGATGAAATTATTACAAAAATAAATTGAATCAACAACAACATAAAGATCAAACTCATATTTTGCATTTCAAATATAAGAAAAATAATTATTAAATATTGTTGTAAATCATTTTTTGTTTTTATATTAGACTTTTATATAATAGGATATTCATAATACAAAACAAAATCACCATTTTATTATGAATTTCAGAAATGTAATAATAATTGACCAAATAAAAAAGTCAAGTTAATGAAAAGAAATTAGAATGTTAAATATTTATATAGGTGTATTCACAAAAACCCAGTAAAAAAAATTTATATTGTAGCCATTGATCCTGGAGTTTACACTTTTTTACTTGATATTTATCTACAATTGGCCATGAAGAAATTGATAAGAATATAAATCATATTTTTTGTCTAGGTCTTACTCTTGATGCCTTCACTTTATGCATTACTAAAGTATTATCAAAAAAATGTAATTCTATTAAATACACTTAAATATATACAAAGAGACACATTAGAAATTTAGTGAATGAAATGTATAAAAAAACTACATCATGGTTAACTCAGACTTTGACATAATTGTTTTATCAAAATTTAATAGTAAACAAATGTCTAAAAGAAAAATTAATAATAAGACAGAAATATTATGAGTTGAGCACATGCTGGATCTAAGGACTTGGCTCTGACCTTAATTATGTAAGCAACTCATGTTAGTCATGCAAATTGATTATTTATAGTTAGCTATAGTTGATCAATTCAAATGTATATTGTTGTAAATGTCAAATACATAAAAAACACGAACATATAAAAAAAAGATTATTGGTAGAATTTAACTTTGGAGAATTCTCAGAACCTGATTTTTTAATCTTACCAAATTTGTCACTTGCATTCAAACTATAGCTCATGAAGAATCGAATAAAAAAAGACTCATTCACGTTTCGTTGAGTGTGGGAGTTTTTTTATATGCGCAACTTTTAAGTGTGATTTTGCCAAAGATTATGTATTGAAATCAGTCGATCAAAAGCATTTATATTCTCTTTTCAGTTTATTTTCATTTTTTTTTGTTTGAAAAACTTCCCTTTTTTCTTTGTTGAGATTAATGACAGCATACTCGCATCTCTTATTAGTATGTTGTCACACTACACAATCTATCTAATCTGTTTTTTAATCTATAAATAGATAAAATTCACAACAAATATGCATTATGTAATCACATGTTTAGGAGGGAGTTGACTCTGGGCCCGTGTTCAAAGTAGCAACATTGTATACCGGGATGCACAGGTGCCGGTGTGCTTTTGTTCTTTGTGATAGTTGCGCGAACGTATAGCTGGTGCAGTGGTGTAGTGCTTGCTTTGTATTATTACAATTATATGCCAATTTTTTAATGCCTTGTCGAAAGAATTGAATTGAAACTATTTAAGTTCTTTTGATTTTCTCAAAGGTATGTAATTTCTTTATTACAATATATTAAATTATTTTATTTTAAATATATTAATGCTTTATATATATTAAGAATTTATAATGCATTTTAGAAAATTAAAAATTTTGTTCCATTTTTTCAAATAGTTCACCCACTAAATTTTACGTAATTCTAATAAATTAATAAGTCTAATTATGGAAGAAATATTATACTATTAATAAATTTTTTTTACTTATTATTTTTATTATATTATTTGATTTGATTGGTATCATCATATGTGATAATAGTATCGATCATATCGGAATATACATGTTGAATCGGGTTTTTTTTTCACATCCAAAGAAGTTCTAAATAATAACAAACAATAACAAATAACAAACAATAATAAATTGGTCTATTTTATTCCTTAACAAAATCGGAAACGAGTAAGTTATTTTTTTTTAGTTAATAGAAAACATGCGATATGTTGTGTTTAACACTATAAATTTCCATTATTTATTCAATTTATATATCAATTTATATAAATTTCCATTATTTATTCAATTTATATAAATTTATTCAATTTATATAAATTTATCCAAATTATTCAATTTATTATAGTTTTTTTCCCATTATTTAATATTTCTTTGATTTACCCCTTCTTTTTTTTTTATGCAGGAAATTCTAAAAATTTATAATATTTTTATATATTCTTATATATTCTTATTATAAAAATTTTAAACCCCCCCCGTCTATTACCATAGTCATCATCATCATCATTCATCATAATCACTTTCTACCACTAAATTTAATGAAAATTTGGTTTGCCCCTTATTAGTCAGTTAATTATTATTATTTAATTATTATAGAACTTTTCCTTATAATCAAGAATCTTGTTCATTTGATGAAATCATGAAATAAAAAAAAATTATTAAAAATATTCAGGAATAGATAAATTAGAAGGAAACATCAACAAATTCAATTAATTATTTAAATAATTATAAAATGATATAATTGATATAAATGATATAAATGATATAAATAAGTAGTTAGATGTTGGACGAGAACTCCTTAGTAATAAATTAGCAAAAAAATCCAAAGGATAAAAATTATTAGTGAATATTCCATATGGAATATTATGTGTGACATAATTATTTAATTATTTAATTATTTAAAATACACGTTGACACGGTTTTTTTTTTATACTGCACTTACAAATCACGTTTATTATTGTTATCTACTGCATAATTATGTAGATTATTCAAATTTACGAATTATCCTATGATAAAAACTGTTTAAAGTCACTCTTAATCCAAATTTAGTTTGATAAAGTTAAATATATATGCTATTAATATTAATAACATTTTAATTTATAGAATTTTGCTATATTTTATCAAATTATATAATTAAATAATATAAACAAATAATTAATCTTGGATTTTTTTAGAGGATGATATCATGACAACGCACAGCCCAGTTTTTTTTTCACATTGTTTCAAAAATATTTTAAATAAATAAATACGATCAACACTCATTACATCATGTAGGGCTTTATCCTTATTATAGATTAGCTTTAGGTTAAATTTCTAATTGGTTGTTCGTGTCAGCCTCAAAAAAAATTTTTCATATTTACGTTTTGAATGACACCTTAATATGATTTATTATGTTGTTTTAAGAAGGGGCGACAATTTAAAGAATACATTTTAGATATCACACATTGCGATATCAACTAATAAACATTATCTATGTGCATACAAATTAAATAACCCATTCTTCCTTTTTGTATTACAATATATTTAAACATATATAAAAACCATGACTTCTTTTCTCATTGTCTAAAAAAACAACTTTTTTTTGCGAATTTCCGGTTGTTTACGAACTCAGCCAACTCGCAATCCCTCCTATTTCAATTTATATCATTCACATTTTATCCGCAGTTGTTTCTTAATTACGTTTATCACGGCTTTCCCGTCCTCATTAATCTATTAAGCACATCAGGTTGTTCTTGGAAGACCTAAATTTAATCAATGTTTTCATGTGCTTTCTTTCTGTCTATTGTTCTGAAAAAATAAAACTCTCTTAAAAATAATAATATCTGACTGAATCATTGATCTGATCGTCATTTACCTGAAGATATTTTAACTTTCTTTCTTTATCACTCTATTTTTATAATATTTATAATTGAATAGAATATTTATAATCTCATAATATTATATATATTTATATATATATTATAATATTTATGGTAACCCCTTTTTCTCCCCCTATAATTTCTTTCTTGAACTACCCTCATCTCCACCACCATTACATTAAAAAACTTAACTGCAGTTCAACCCTTACAGATATCTTCTTTACATGTCCCCCTTTGTATTGTTTGTTTTCAGTGATTTTTGTGAATTTGTTCGTGATCCTTTATCATCGTGAATTATTGCATTCTTTGTATTATTATTTTTTTTTTTGCCATTCACTTTTTTTTTTCTTGTATATAGTTCTTGACTATAATTCCATTATTTTTTTTTTGTAAAATTTTGCCAAAATCCTTTTGTTTATTGAATTCTGAAATTCTATAAAAATACCCATTATTTTTTTTTGTCGTCATGCACCATTTACAAGGTAAATTCATTCTTTTCTAATTATTCTCTTATTTATTTGTTTGTTACATGTCAATTCTTTTCGATTATTTTTATTTTTTTTCTTTTTTTTTTTTCTATTTTTCTTCGGATAAAATTATCATCCGTAACCACTTTTTTATTCTATTGTTTACCTTTTGTCTAACATTTGTTTGTTTTTTTTTCTTTATTTATTTATTTATTTTTTGATTATCTGTTTTGTTATATAACAATTATTTGAATATTGATATAGCAATAAATCACGCGTGCCAGCAAAATTCAACATTTTTCCCGTTATCGAATATCTCTCCTTTAACAAACAATTCTGTTTCTATATACCCGAACATATTCACAACAGAAACTTCAGAAATAAGAGATTCATCTGAAGATTCAACAAAATTAATTGGGGAAATGATGGATTGCTCTCAATCCTCAAAGCACAACGATTCCCCAGAAATTAATGATTCAAGTCACACGATCGTAAACAACAGTACATACCAACTAGCGGATAATACGATGGTATATTACTTTGGAAATAATGTCCCATTTGAGGTTTGTCTTTAATTCTTTATTTGTATTTATTTGTAATCTGTACCATCTTTCTATCCAATAATCCTTCACATTCTTATCCCTACATTGTTAAACCCAATTTTTTATAATCTTGGTCATCACTTTTTCAATAATGGCTAATATATTTAACTACTTTTTTCCTATTGTTTACCTTTATTTATTTCCTTTTTTTTCAAAAAATAATAATTCAGATAAATTTTATACAAGATAATGCTACACTTTTATATGATCAGGTAATCATCTAACGCTTCAATTTTTTAGTAATTGCATTTTTCATTTTATCTTAATTTAATATTCTTTTCTATTTAATAATCTTTTATTTTTTTCCAATAAAAGTGTCAAGAGTATCAAAACATTAATATGAATAACATGGTATTTTTTTGTTTTTTTTTTCGTTTTCTTTTACTATCATTCATATTTAAATCCTAATAATTATTAATTTTCATTTATCCACTACGAATTAAAAGATTTATCAAAAAGATCAAATCACGCCCATCACGCCCATCACGCCAATCACTCAATCGAAAAAAATGGTAATTGTGAAATTATATGACTAAGTTGCGTCCCGTTAATTCTTCCACTAATTCCTCCATTAACCCTCTATTTTGTTCTTTTTTTTTAATAGAACGATTTGTCTACAAATAACTTTGATCAAAGTTGGCAGGTAAATTTTTTTAAATAATAAGAAGAAAAAATAAAGGATATCTCTGTTTTATCGAAGAAAGATTTAACCAAATAAATTATTATTTAGCAAAGTGAATGTGATATGTATCAACAACAGACCCCCGAAATTTATTGTCCAATGATGGAAAATTCATATCCTACAAATAACTTTCCAATTGAGACGACGATGCATAATTCATATCCATTAATGATTAATGATACAACAGCTTTCAATTTTGCTTACAATGCTGTATGTATTCCTTACTCTCGCTCTTTCTCTCTAATTTGCTTTCTTTAGGTTATTTAATCTTAATTTTTTAATTTTAATAAATTTTTTTACTTCCAGCGAAGATCACAAAATTTCATTTCACCACCTCCTATATGTGAGACAGATTATCAAGTACGCTCACAGGAAGCACGTGTACAATCACAAAATTCGATGGGAAGTCAAAAACCCCCTGTTTATACCAAATGGACCGAAGAAGAAGATGAACTATTGCGTGCCGCAATAAGCATTTACGGTCCACATAAATGGTCCCTAATTGCTGCACATGTTCCTAATCGTACCCCGATGCAATGTTCCACTAGGTGGTTAGGTGCATTAAATCCTACAATTCATAAAGGGAGATGGACACCTGAAGAAGATGCCTCTCTTAGAGATGCGGTTAGTGAATTTGTCGATTTACTTGATTCGGAAGGTCATCCTCAACCTATACCATGGAATAAGATTGCTGTACGAATTCCACATCGAACCGGTATTCAATGTCAAGCAAGATGGTCAGAAGCTCTAGATCCTAGTGTAAGGAAGGGCAAATGGTCACCTGATGAAGATGAAATTTTGAAAGGAGGAGTTAGACGTTTCGGACGTTGCTGGATACGTATTGCTGAATTGATTGATGGAAGAACTCAGGTAAATCGATAAAATTAAATTTTTAAAAAAAATTTTTTTTTTTTTCGAAATCTTTTTTTCTTTTGATTGTTAAATTATAATTCTTTAATAATAACGTTTTTAATAATTTCTTTAAATATTAAACTAAACAGAGACAATGTAGGACCCGATGGGTTCAAATAAAGAATAAACAAGAAAAAATTGAAAAAGGTGCCATTGCAACAACAAAGGCTTGTTCATCTAATTCTTCTTCAACCGACGATGATGATAGTAATGATGATAGTATTGTCATGATTACTCCACCTTCCACTCCAGCACAAAATAATATTAATAATATTAATAATAATAATAACAATAATAATAATAATAATAGCAATAATTCCAATAATTCCATAATAATGTCAGAAATTTTTTCAACATCTACCATTTCATCTGTCAGTCGTATAAACACCATACCTTCAACTCTCCCTAGAAGACAAATCACATCCATTATCACCAACGAAAGTCCAATTTTATCACCAACCGATACTCTTGTCACAAGTCCTGAGTCGTGTGTGGCAACTCCCGAATGCATTCCGATATTTGATTCATCAAATAATAATATTGTAAAGAACGAAAATCTTATGATTTTCAATTCGTATTAAGAATTTTTTTTTTTATATCGGTAAGGGCAATTCAAAAGAAAAGAAAAATGAACAGATATAGAAAAAAAAAATTAATGAACATTTTGACTCATGAAAAAATTACATACATATAATTTTTTTTCGTTCGGATTCCAAACCAACAAAAAAAAAAAAATACACACCTATTTAAAAAAAAATTAAGCTTGTCTAAAAAAATTATGTGCATGTATATATGTATATATGTATGGTTTTATTTTTAAAAAACCTCCCCCATTTTTTTTAAGAGAACTTTTTTTCTCTATCCAAAAAAAAAAATTAATATTTTTTCTTCGAAAATTTTTTACTATCCATTCGATTTTTCACAAGGTTCACAAAGAATTAAACATCAACAATCGTTACCGCTATTTTTATTTTTTTTTTTTCAATAATAATTTTCGTAAACCGAAATTTTTTTATGCCAAAACATAAAAAAAAAAAACCATAATGTAAAGAACAAATAAAATTTTTATATGAAAAGTTTGTAAAATAATTTTTCCTTTTTTTAAACGTGGCGAGTAAACTACCTAAGTTAATGTATAAAAGATATAAAAAATTCGTTGCTTTTAAAAGTTAACCCGAATCTATATAACTTAATTTTAATTGTTGATATTGTTGATCTGAATTACACGCGCGTCGGAATACACGATTCTAGTTTGATTTTGATATGTTTTATTTACCTAAAATAATGTAAAAATCTTTATAGGTATTCGAATAAACAAATATCACATGATAAACAAATCGTTTTAACCAATAAATTAGTAATGTGATCTTAAATCACATGACTTTAGCTCGACGAAAAAAAAATCAATTATTTCTTTATTAAACCCATATTCTTAAATAACTTGATATAAAATAATACAATATCGAATCATATCTATTAAAAAGTTATTCCTATTTGCCAAAAATATATTTTATTATATATTATTATAATGAAATAAAATCAATAAAATTTACACCTGTAATAAAAATAACTTGATTTCAAAGATTTATTTAATTACAAATATTATGTTATAGATAATATATATATATATATATATTTGTAAACATAAAGGTTATAGAAAGCCTTTTTAATCAGGTAATCACAAGGTAATCGCAAGGTAATCGCTTTTAATCGGTATATCAAATGCCATATGTAATACATATTTTTATAAAAATTGATTTACACTAATTTGACGATAATACAGTTTGCGGCAGCATTACGCAATATTTTTAAATTATTCTGCAAAACATTGACAAAAAAATTTTAAATAAAAACGGAAATCTGCAATATATATGTATTATTTAAAAGATAATATTTAGGTTGTAACGAAATTTGCTACCTCAAGTAAATATAATAAATATAATAAAATAATCAAAGTACAATATTTTTATTGTTGATGGTTGTTCAATACAAGTCTCTTTGTTTTTTGTTTCTCTCTCTTCTTCCCTCCCTCCCTCTCCCTTTCTTTCTTTCTTTCTCCATCTCCCACCCTCCCTCATCCCTTTTCACAATCTATTTTTAGTACATTATTTTCAATTCCAATTCATTCCAATTCATCCCAATTCTCTATCAGAAAGAAAAGAAAATAAATCAGTAACATATTTTTTTTTTTCTTTACATTTTCTCCATAACATAACATAAATGATGAATATGTGAATCTTATTATTACTATTATTATAATAATAACCTATAACTAACACTATAGCCGATGTACTCAAATATACTTTGTTAAGAAAAAAAAAACAAATTCTGAGGAGAAAAAATCGATGGGTCGTTTCATTGAGATCGGCTAAAAATAGTCATATTAAAATAATAATTAACAATAAGTCAATAAAAGATTCTTTATGTTATTATTCTAACGTTCATCAATAACATCAATAGCTCGAACGTTCACCTGTGGTGTAACTTTATCACATATTATAAATCGACAAAAAGGGAGAATAGAAAGGGATAAATAGATAGATAGAAAGAAATAGTACGGTGATGGTGATGAATGACGAAATAAGATGTTAGATAGAAATTCAAGATACCTTCTTTTTCTTTTTATTATTATTATTATATTATAGATAGCTCTACTCTATTTTATATTATATATATTTACGCGCGGTAGATCTTGTAATTCTTCCTAAAATTTTGATCATCTTAACGTGAATTATAGAAAATATTCAATAACTTTATGATAAATGTAATAATAATAATAATAACGAATATTGAAATAAATGAAATATAATACTGAAAACTGCATTGAATATTATATGACCGTTCATCATTCTTCATTTTTAACGTTAATTTTATGAATTATTTGAATTTCATTACGTTCGTTAATGTTTCGTTATTGTTCATTACGTTAAGTTTCATTTCATTATGTACCCAATATAATACGATGCCCTTTTTTTTTTTTTGATGAGTGTAAGATTTTATTTATTTACACATACGAAAAAAAAAAAAAAAAAAAAAGGAATAATAAAATCCAAATATAAATTTTTTTTTTTGATGAATATCTTTTTTTTTTATGGGGAATAAAGCAAAGGGTAGATAATAATGAAAGAGGAAAAAAAAAATGTATACAACTAAAGAAAGAAAGGAAGGAAATGAAAAAAATGAAAAGAAAAACAAAGTATATTTGATTGAGATATATAAAAATATTGAAATAATAATTTGAACAAAGAGTTAAATCATTTTTATATAAAAATCAAGATATAAAGAAGAAGGTTTTTGGAATTCTGACTAAAGAATAAAGAGAAAGAACCAAAAAAAAAAAAAGTACTTTATTTACTTTTATTTACATTTATTATACTAACTAACTAACTATTACTATTATTATGAATGAACTGGTTATAAACGATTATATGAACGAACTTGTGTGCGGAAAGTAAAATCAAAAAAATTATTCATCATATAATAAACACCCTTCTTCTTTTGGTAATCACGTGAGCAATTCAAGTTGCTTGGTTCTACAAAGACGAACGATTTTTTGAAGAGAGGTTAAAACATAATAATAAATAAAGAGAATAATAAAGATGAATAATATTAAACATAGAAAAGGAATAAATTAATAAAACATAAGTTAAATATAAATAAATTATATAATAAAAATATATACCTTTGGATTATCAGGACTATTCTTCCACCGTTCGGCAACGAGCTTAAAGGCAGCTTTATGCTCAAGGTTTGGGTTTTCGGCTTTAACTTTTGGCAACTCGTTCTTCATGAAAGCGTTGTATGGGGAAAGTTTTCTTTTACCACCTTATTAATATAGAGAAGAGAAGTGAAGGGAAAAAAAAAAAATAAAGAAAATAAGTAAATAAATAATAATAAATAATAATAATAATAATAATAAAGAAAAGAGGCAAATATAGAGAACTATATAAATATAATAATATATATATAAAAGTATATAGAACAGTCGCGCTATAGTAAACGTTAGTAAGTAGAATATAGAAGCAGTAAAAAAAAGCGTGAAATGACGTGGAGTTAGGGGTCGGCAGTCCTCTCCAAAGTATTCTTTATAATAGAAATTTGGAAGGACACGCTCTTGAATTAAGAGAGAGAAAATTCCCATATACCAAAATATAAAATAATAATAAGTAACAGAGAGAAATAGTTCAAAATACTCACCACTGGTAGCTTTTTTAGTAGTCTTGGTTTTAGGCATTGTGAAATTACAAGTTACGAAGAAGAAGTTTTGTAAGATGATGAGAGTAAAGTTTAATATAAACGAGAAAAGTAAGTAAGTAATAATTATTGGGGGGGTATAAACTCGACAATAAATTTTCGTCCGTTATATAGGTAGTATATTGGGGTGATTTATTATGATGGTGGTGATGGTTTATTATTTGATGGTTTTTGTATTTTTTGTGTGTATTTTAGTTATACGCATTAGTTAATTATTATTATTATTATTATTATTATTATTATTATTATTATTATTATTATTATTATTATTATTATTTTTATTTTTATTTTTATTATTATTATTATTATTTCTATTATTATTAGTTATTATTATTTATTATATTAAGTTTATTGTATTAGTTATTATATTAGTTATTATTATAGTTATTATATTAGTTATTATATTAGTAATTATATTAGATTTATTATATAATTATTATTATATAGTTATTATATAGTTTATTATATAGTTTATTATATAGTTCTTTATTATATAGTTCTTATTATTATGGGGGGAATTGTTTCTTTAAAAAAAAAAAAAGATATATAAATTCAATAATAAATATATAATAAATAAATAAATAATACTAAATAATACTAAATAATACTTAATAATACTTAATAATACTTAATAATACTTAATAATACTTAATAAAATGTAATGATAATAATAAATAAATTATCATTCATATCAGAACAAAAAGCTGTGAGACATACACATACACATTTACAGCCACATATATTACATATTATTACATATATTACATATTACATATATTATACCACATATTTCATATGAATCATATGAATACCCAAACAACTCTCTAAATATACTAAATTTATACTAAATATATACTAAATATACTCTAATGTGGAATATTTAGTGTTCCTTCAAAACCAATAAATATTATGAAAGAATATTGAATGATTATAATATCTATAATCATAATATTATAATAATAATAATAATAATAATAAACTCTCACGGCGCACTGAAAAAAAAACCATCGTCTCATTACATACTTATATTCACTTATTATTATTCACACATTTGTTATTTTATTTTATTTTTTTACATTTTGTTTTTTTCATTTACGAACTCAAATAGATAAAATAGATTAATTGGATAAATTGGATATATATTTTTTTTTTCATATTGTCATCAAAATAATTATTTAATAATAAATACAAAAATTATTATAAATATAATATTTATATATAACAAAAATAAGTGGTGTTGTCGAAGTGTTTGGGGGCGCTTTTTTTTTTTTTTTTGTTTTTTTTTGTACCAATTTTTGATAGACGTCCTAATTTGCGAATAATAACAAAATATATAAAATATATATATGTATATATATATTATTTAGTAACAGGTGACCATAAGTAACCATAAGCTGGGGTAACCACAGTGTAATACGTACGTTAAATAAGTGTTTATACATTTATGTATTAGTTAGATTCAAATCTAATTTGGGAAATTACATTTCCCAAAGTGATTTCTCCATTTTTGGATGGCATTTCTTTTTTTCCATCTTTAGAATGTGATAGAAGCGAGATTGTATGAGATTGTATAAGCCCTTTACTACTCTTATTTTCTTATTTTTTAAAAAAAAATTATGCACAGCCAAAATCAGTAAAAAATCGAGTGCGATTTATTTTTTTAAATCATTAAAAAAATAAATTTTTATTTAAAAATTAATTGAATTAATGAATTAATGAAATTAACGAATTAATGAAAATTATTGAATTTATTGAATTTGCTTAAAATAGGTAAAACAATCATTTTCTTCAAAAGAAATTACTATTGACCTTATTTTCTTTCTTTCACTGTAGATAATTATTAAAAAAATATTTAATTAATTCGTTTAATTCATTTCATTTAATTCATATAGTCATTTAATTTAGTTTATTTAGTTTCATATAGTTCAAGTTCATTAGTTCACATCATATAAGTTTAATAAGTTTATAAGTTTAGAAATATTTTCTAGTAGTCAGTTTTTTTTTTTTGCCAGTATTTGTGATGTGATGATCGTTTTTTTTTACCTATAAAATTAAGAAAATCTCTTAATATTACTACTATATCATTACTACTATCATCATTACATTCAATATTACTATTATCATTACATTCAATATTACTATTTGATCAATAATAAAAACGAAATTCAGTTTGACCCTGAAATTTTAACTGTGCCACAACATTTTCCAGCTATGGAAGGATCATACAATATCATTACAATGATTACAAATTACTACTTACCGACAACAACAAAAAAACAACAAGAACTTTGTTATTATTATATATTATTTATTATTTATTATTATCTTCGGCTATTATTATATTTATTATATTTATCATGTTTATTATTATATTCATTATTATTATTATTATTATTATTAGCATTGTAAAAAAAAAAAAAAAAAAAAAAATTGTAAAACATAAGATCGTGATTTACCTCACTTACATTATCACGTCCATCAGTTTTATTATTAATCATTAACTAATCATTTTTAGTATACATATTCCACACTTTTATTCCACATATTCCTTTTATCGTGAAATTTTTAATTTTTTTTCTTATCGTGATAACTTATTTAATTATTATTTATTATTATTTATTATCATTACCATAATGATTATTATTGTAACTATTGTGAAATTATTAATTATTCTTTTAATTATTAATTTTCTCTTTTAAATTCTTTTGTCGTCGTTAATCATCATCAGATGATTGGTTGGTTATCCAAGAATTAATCAAATATATTATTATCGAGTTTTAATACTAGGTCAATCCTGGATTAATTCTTGGCAATTAGTTATTATCAAGGGAACATTAAAGAAACATTGGAGAATGAATTGTATGATAAAATGAAATGATGATATTGTATGATGAATTGATTTGTCATATCACATGGATCATTATATGATTTATTAAGTTAAATTATTTTCAATTATTTCAAAAAAAAAAAAAAATGTTGAATTGATTTTATTTAGATTTTATAAATAAATGAATTGATTTTTTGTTTAAGGACTGTCAATTATCATCATAAAATCATAAAGCTGCTCAAACTTTTTGTTCAACCAATAAATAAAAAAATAAATATCAAAACGGTAATTCCGCAGTTAGAATCCTTTGTATAACCAAATGACTATCAATCAACAAGTAATATTAGAACGAGTATATAATTTAGAACCCAAATTATCTCTATTAATCACCTTCGAAAGGAAAAATCTTATTATATTTACGCTTCAACAATGAAGGCTATACTTACAGGCCTAACCTTTATAGGCACTATTATTATTACTCTTTTCTCAATCTTTGCACTTTCCGAAGCGGATGCAGATATAAGCCAAAACCAAAATCAGGGCGAAAGTGTGATTCCTTTACGCACCCACTCTCTCTATATGCCTTACATTGGTGAGAAAATTTTATTATTCCTAATTATTACCAAATTATTAATTAATTAATTATTAATTAACCAATTAATCAATTATTAATCAATTATTAATCAATTATTCCAAATTATTAATTTTTTATTTTAGATCAAGATCTTCAAAATCGTTGGTTTGATTTTGGTGGCGATACAGTTATTAACACTAACAAGTATATACGCCTCACGCATGATCGACAATCACAAACAGGCTGGTTATGGAGTCGTTTGGTATGAATGAAGATTTTTTTTTTACGCGAATTAAGTTAATCTAGTGAAATTTTAATTGATGGGGAAGAACGAATAAGAGAGAGAACTAAAGATTATCATAATCGAGTTCTTATTATTAAAAAGAAATCATTCATCATCATCATAATCATCATCATTTATATTAAAGATCATTTAATTAAAGATCATTGGATTATATTCGATTTGTTGATTTATTGGAAAATTTATAGCTTACCTTTAATAAACATATGTAATCAATAGCCATTGACATCTACGAATTGGCAAGTAGAATTTGAATTCAAAATCGAAGGATCAAATCCAACTCTTTATGGTGATGGAATGGCTGTATGGTTAACCACCGATCGTGCAAAGTCTGGTCCGGTTTTTGGATTTATTGATAAATTCGAAGGATTAGGAATTTTCTTTGATACATATGCAAATTCTAGACAAGCAGTATGTTCTTTTCGCGTTTTTTATTATTTTATTTTATTTTATTTTATTTTATTTTATTTAATAATAATATATTAATAATAATATATAATAATAATAATAATAATCATCATCATCATCAACTTTTAGCATTCATTTCCTTACGTAATGGCAATGCTTGGTGACGGTAATACTCCATATGATCATGCCAATGACGGTAAAGCCAATCACCTCGCTGGATGCGAAGTAAGAATACGTATTCCTCTTCAAATTATCATAATTGAAATTACTATAATCATTATATTAAGTTATCTTTCTTTATATATATATTTTTAGGCTGATATACGCGGTCAATCGGTTGTAACGAAAGCACGTATCACATATTATAGGAATACTTATCTTGAGGTAAGATTTATATTAAATTTATTATTAAAAAAAAAATTTTTTTTTTTTGATGCATATATTTATTTAGCTATTTTATATTTAACCACCATTTTTTTTGATTATTAGGTTAAATTACAATATAAAGATTGGGATCAATGGGAACCATGTTTTACCATTCCTAATGTTACCCTTCCAACAGTAGCTTATCTCGGTTTTAGTGCATTAACTGGTGATGTTTGTGGTATGTTATCATCATCATCATCATCATCTTCTTCTTCTTCTTCTTCATAATAAATAATAAATAATAATGATTTAATAATGATAATAAATAACTAAACTCGTTTTTTTTTATTTAACAAATTAATAGATTCTCATGATATTATTAGTATCACGACAAATAACCTCATTTCTGTACCTCCACGACTTCACAAGGTAATTGATCTTTTAATCTTTGATGATACATTAATTAATTAATTAATTAATTAATTAATAAAGATTTATTAATTATTAAATTAATTATTATTATTTTATCTTTAATTAGACAACTCTTCGAACTCACGATCCTAAGACCTCAAGTTGGTCTGGATTTTTATTTATTCTTAAACTTATCGCCACCACAGCCTTCATTGGAGTTTTGATTTTGGTATATAGAATGTTTAAAGAACAGTCAAATAAGACTTTTTAAAATGTGAATGTTATAAAAATCTGTGCGAGTCATTTATTTTTTAAAGTTCCTTCTACGTTAATGTTAAAAAAAAAAAAAAAAATATTCCTCTCTCAAATTAAATCATTTCTATAAATTTTTTTTAAAATTTTCGAAAATAATAAAAAAAAATTATAATCTTATTGAATCACATGTTTGTCTGTCACATCATTATTGTCTTTTGTGAAACGTGATATCGTAAAAAATTATATTAAAATTGATATTTGTTTGTTTTTTTATAATGCCTTAAAATGTCTTCTCGACCAACCGAGGAGAGAAATCAAGATGCAACTGTTTATATTGGCAATCTTGATGAGCGTTGTACTGAAGCCTTGATTTGGGAGTTAATGCTTCAGGCAGGACCGGTAGGTCAGTCCCTGTAAAATTTAGATCCGCATTTTCTTTTCTTAGTGTTATTTATTTATTTTATTTTTTTTTCTTGGTTATTTTATTTTTTTTACAGTAAACGTTCATTTACCCAAAGATCGTGTTACTCAAACACATCAAGGATATGGATTTTGTGAATATATGAGTGAAGAGGACGCCGATTACGCTATAAAAATAATGAATCAAATAAAACTTTATGGAAAACCTATACGAGTTAACAAAGTAAATTTAAAAATTTGATTCAATTTAACTTATAATACTTATAATAATACTTATATAATTAACTTTATAATACTTATATAATTAACTTTCGATTTATCATTTTTCAAATTTTAGGCAACATCAGATAAGAAAAATTTGGATGTTGGTGCTTCATTATTCATTGGAAATTTGGATCCTGATGTGGATGAAAAAATGTTATATGATACATTTAGTGCCTTCGGAGTTATTGTACAGACACCCAAGGTGTTCCTTTCAAACAAACTTCATTCAATTGATCATCTTTTTTTTTCAATATTTATAAACTTATTTATCTTCTAATTCTTTTTAATTGGAATTAATTCAATTATTTTATTTATTAGATCGCAAGGGATCCCGATACAGGAAATAGTAAAGGATATGGGTTTATTTCATATGACAATTTTGATTCTTCTGACGCAGCAATTGATGCTATGAATGGTCAATATTTGATGAATAAACCAATTACTGTATCATATGCATTCAAGAAAGATGGTAAAGGAGAGAGACATGGTAGTGCTGCAGGTAAAATTATTTATAAATTATTTTTATACATTTATTTCTATACATTTATTTCAATCCATTTTATATTGTTTAAATTTATATTTAATTATTATGATATATATATATATATATGAATTAATTTTATTTTATTTTATTATTTAGAACGTTTATTGGCAGCCCAAGCGAAGAAAAATCAAAGTTTACCAAATCGTCTTTTCGCGGATGTTCGGCCAACCAATGTACCTCAACAAATGATGGGAATAAGAACTTCAAGTTCTTCTCAACCAGGTACAATTCCAAGACCAAGTGGACCTCCTTCAAATAGTAATATGTTTGGAGGTTACCCTTCATCTGGATCAAATAATCATCATCATCATAATCAATCACAATCTCAAAGGCCTCCAGTAGGGACAAATGGGTCATCATCACAGGGTTATCCATTACGACCCAATATGGCTTCTGGAGGAGGTTTGTTTTCTTAATTATAAGAAACAGGAAATTAATTTTTACTAAAAAATTTTTTTTGTTTATCAAAATATAGCACGTCCACCACCACCTCCACCTCCAACATTTGGAGGAAATAGACCACCTCCACAATTACGTCCACCTGGACCTTATGGTCAATATCCACAACCACCAATTCCATAAACTTTCTTCTTCCGTGTCAACAAAAAAATAAAATAAAATATTTGAAGATTTAATAGGTGTAAGGATTTGATAAGTATAAGTAGAAAAGTAAAAAATTAGAAAATATTTTGTAATCGTTTTTATCATTTCGTTTTATAACTTCATTCTTTTAAGTACGCATCATTTTTTATGCATTATTTCATATCAGATTTTTTTTTTATTAAATTAAATTAAAAAAAAAGGAACCAATTCATATTGATATTATTGATATTATTGATATTTTTTTGACATTTTTAAGTTATTATAATTTAGAAATTAGTCATTTATCTTCTGAAGCTACTTGAGATTGAATAAATTCCACTGCTCTTTTAGCATGACCCGAAAAATTCAATTGAGAATTAAAAACATCTGCAATAATTCCATCTCTATTGATTAAATAAGTAACCCGACCACTCACCAAACCCATAAATTGTTGAACCTTTATGTTTTTTTTTAAAAAAAAAAAAAAAAAAAGAATTTGTGTATTTGTTTATAGTAATACAAGTAATGCAAAGTGGAATATTTAATATGTAAAAAAAAAATGTACAAACCACAAAAGCTTTTCTGGCCTCTCCTTTGGAATCAGATAATAATTGAAATGGTAAATTTTGTTTGGCAATAAAGTTTTTATGACTCTCGGGAGAATCTGATGAAATACCTAACACCGTTGCTCCAGCCTCGGAGAAGGTTGAGTAAGAATCACGGAAATGGCAAACCTTTTTAAAAAGAAAAAAAGAAAAATGAACAACCAAACATTTGAAACATGATATATAAGAAAATATTATTATTATTATTATTATTATTATTATTATTAAAAAAAGTGTCACCTCTTGGGTACAACCATAAGTTTCGTCCCTAGGATAAAAAAAAACGACAGAAGGTTTTCCATTACCGATAACAGAATCCAAATTAACATCTTCGTTATCTTGATTTTTCAATGTTATACCTTTTGGGAAAGGTTTGTCCTTTAAAGAATGCATTATTGCGTTATTGAAATTGAAATTTTTAATAGGATTAAAAGTTGAAAAATTGATGGTAAACAAATAATACAAGGAGGAAGATATTAAAAGAAACTTGGAAGCCCTTGAAATTTGAATAGGATAAATATTATTAAATAACATAATAATTAATAATTAATGGAGATACATCATTATTAATCATTAATTAAAAACTTGTTTTGTGTAATACAGTCTAGTAGTCTCTATAGTCTCTATACGGCGATTTTTAATTAAGATTCACAAGATCGTGTGACATCTCGTCACTTATACGTGATCATAAGCCAATAACATTTCATATACGTGACCTTACAATATCGTATAATAATTTTAATAAAATTAATGTACAATAAAGTATCGTTTTTGGTACTATTCTTTTTTGTTCCAGCGAGGCCTCAAATTTATAGAGAAAGTCTCCTATATGAGACATGCCTGCAACCTACCACCTGACAAATAAATTTGCCCTCAGCATGTTAAGGTCCTGCCAAACAACCTTTTGATACTATTCTTATTAATATAACGAAAAATACATTTTTATTGAGATTATTGGAAACATATTACAGTATGTAAAGATATAAAACACACATCCATATATATTTTACTACTAATATAAATTAAAATCATAATTTTATTCAAAATAATACATATTAACATATTATGAATTTTATATATTTGCTCTTCTACAGTTTTTAATTAATTAAGTTCATATGATGTGAAAAGTGCCTGGATAGTTTTTTGATAGTTTAATAAAAAAAAATACTAAATAAAGCTAGCTTTTCTTACTAATATTACAACTAGAAGTGAGCTATAATAATATAAAGTTTCTTTTAGAAACATGTGACATAATACAGTCTACCCTTAAACATTTCAAACTTTAATTTTCTATCAAATATATTTGTATATATTTGTTTTGTGTATATATATTTTTATCTTGTTATAATTATTAAGAATAGACGATTTTTATATTCAATATCTATTTATTACTTTCTAAAATCAATGCATTTCAAATCTATTAAAATTAAAGGAAAAAATCTAAAAAAAGTAATTTTTATAAGTAAAATTTTTTATTTGAATTTTTGCCCATTTCAAAATAAAATATTGTTACTTTCCTATTAATATTTTTCTCATTTTATTGGTTTACAGTGCCTCACGAAAGTACTGCAACACCAGACTTTTTGTCTTTAAAAAATTCTACAGCCTGAACAATTTTGAAGATTTTTTTGAGATGTTTTTGATATCAAATCAATAATTACAATTTTTGTAAACAGGTGATCTATATAGTGAATTGTCACTTAATAACTCAGAGGATTGATTTTTTTTTAATTTGTAAACTTTCTTTCTGTTTACAAGTTATTAGTTATAAACCTTGTTAAATATTTAATACCAATAATTTTCAACCAATAAAAATAAAATATATGGTTTAATAATAGATACATAGTGACCAGATGATTGGAAATTTCATGTACAAGTTAATGTGACAAATATGTATAAAAAAAATTGTTAGTAATCTCCTGCAACATGAAATATGGTGATTAACACCACTGGTGTAATATAAAGTTTTTGTTATTTTTATATAGTACATACAATCTAACATTATAACTTTTTATATATTGTAATCAAATTTTTTGGTTAAGTTAAATTTTTAGGAACTATTCAATTGGATTTGTATTTATTTATAGCACATAAGCTGCAATATCTGTTAAACATTTTCTGTAAACATCCATAAATCTCCATATGATATTTTAACAACTTGAAATTTTCAATTTTTTTTTTTTATGTTGATTTTGGAAGCATTTTTTTTAAAAAAAACCAGAATTAGTAAAAATTACACAAATTATTAGATTCATAAATAATTCTAACCTACATTATGAATTTTTGACCACTTTATAATGAGTTATCCTTAATAAATACACCATTTTTTTTGAATCATGTTAGAGAAAGCTTAATAAAAAAAGAGCACTGTTACAACCATCCATAACAGAGTTTCTCTAAAAAGTCAATTGATTGGATTCTCAAATTTAATACAATGAATAATTTACAAATATATATATGGAATAATAATAAGAATTTATTTAATATCAATTTTAATTTGGATACTTAAAGTTAGTGAATTAAAAGTTAAATTGCGCGCCAAAAATTTTCAAAAATTTTTTGTGTAAAATTACTTTTTTTTTGACTTAGCTCGCGATTTACGAAACATGGAGCATGATGCCTTATTCTTGGCTACAAGATGGTATGTGTTTCATTCCTGTGGCGTCGATATTCATCGGTTAAAGTTAAAATGTCTATGAAAAATCTTCACGGACATTTCACTTTAAATCGATGAATATCAATGCCACAGTAGCCAAGAACAAGACTATCATAGAAACACCTTAGTAGAAAATCGCTCCAAGTTACGTAAATCGCGAGCGAAGTCAAAAAAAAAAAGGCAATTTATACACAAAAATTTTTGAAAATTTTCGGCATATAAAAATAATCACGGCAGCCGAAAATTCGGCACCATCTATAGTGTAGGCAATAGTATTGAAATAAGTTCACAACTGAAGATAATATAAACAAATATAATAATATTTATAAAACTTCATTAGAATCAACCTCCAATATCATATCCTAACTGAAGAATAATATTAGAAGCTATTAAGTGTTATGCGCAAGAGAAAGAATTATAAATTGATAAGCAACGATTAAATAAATTTAGATTTAATTTTAAATAAACACCAAAATTTTTTTTTTTTTTTTGAAAAAATGTTAGAAAAAAAAATGCCAAAATGTTAAAAAAAAAAAAAAAAAAATATGCTATTTTATCCAATTTTTATCTAATTTATCTAACAATCTTTTTTTTTTGTTTCCTTTAACAATAATAATGAGTTGATAAGTGATAAAAGTTGATAAATATATATATGTGTGTAAATATAAATATATAATATTCAATCCTTATTATTATAGTTATCATTATTTTGTTATCCTCATTATTATGTATTATTTTGTTTCTTGGTTAAAATAAGTTGATATGGGAAACCATTCCTTGCACTTTTTATAAAATTCTTCAGCTTTTGGAGATTCAAAAATATTTTTGAGAGCTTCATAAACTGAGATACAATTCTATAAATAAATAAATAAAAATATATATATATAAATATATAAATAAATAAAAATAAATAGATAATAAATAAATATAACTCACTTGTAATGTTCTAGTTTCATTATATTTTTCATCATAAACTTTCAACAAAAGATTACCAGTTTCTTGCTTTTTAGAGGAATCAATTAAATAAAATGATTCGGCACCCACTAACAAGTGCTCTATGGAATTTTTGTTTCTTTCTATAAATTCCTCACTAAATTTAATCAAGGTCATATCTTCAGGTAATATTTTTGAGGTCAATTCTTCGGTGATCACTTGGATCGTCGTAGAATGGATTTTAGATATATTAGATGATACTTAAAAGATATTAATTAGAAGATAATATTAATAATTGGATTCTTTTAAATATTTATATTTATTATATCAATTATATTAATTAAATTACCTTCTAACTTAAACCTTATTATATCTTTGTGTAATGTCGCATTTTCTTTGTCGATCTTATAAGCTTGCAAAAGGGCCCTAAGTGCAAGAAGATATTTCTCTTGGTAATAAATAAATAATAAAAGAAATAATTAAGAAAATATTAGTGAAATCAAAGTATAATAAAATGTATAAAATAAATAAATAATATAAATATTATAAAATAGTATAAATACTATACTTTTTCTTAAATAAATTTCGAATCCTAATAAATGTGTTTCTATCCTTTTCGAAGACAATTCTTGTAATGGCATTAAAAATTTAAAAGCTTCACCTAAAGGATCGTCTGTCTATAGAAATATGTAGTTATTATTTTTTTTTTATAATTATTTTAAATAAATAAATAATAAAAGGTAGATTTCAAACCTTGAGAAGTTTTTCACCCTCGGGATCGTCGTCTAAAGGTTTTTCGATTCTTTTTTTTTGATCATCTTTTGACTTTTCTATTATTCAAGTTATTTAAGTTATTCGGTTATTCAAGTGCGTATGTAATATATTATATAATATGTATAAATATGTATAAATTAAATTAAATTAATATTAATTAAAAAAAAAATACCTTTTTTTTCGTCATCCTCTTTTTGCTTCTTTAGAGCAGCCTTTTTGGCTTTGCTTTTAGCTTTCTTTCTTTCGGCCTCGGTCATATTTGCTATAATTAGCAATTCATCAAGCCATTAATTAATAAAATAAATTATTAAATAAAATAATATATCTTAGAATTAATTTATCTCTCATAATATATAAATCCCATACATACCATAATCTTGATCATCGTTATCAAGAGCGGCTGTTTTAGGGTTGTCGTATAATTTAAGATATATCTAGATATTTTCAATATGTAATAATTGATAATATAAAAAAAAGTCAACTTGGAATTTAAAGAAATGATAAATAGTTGATTACCTTGATAGCGATTGTGGCAGATCGCACATAATAGGGATGCGAACGTAATTGATCTTCGAGTCGTAACATGCTATATTTTATATAATAATAAAGTTACAAATTTGATTACTTTATTAATAACAATGATAGTGATGACGACAGTAATGACGTTTCTCGTACCTTAAATATGCACGAAGAGTAACCTTTCGTAAACAATAAGTATGAAAATCGAATTGGTCATCCGTTATATCGGAAAAATGCTATGATTAATTAAAATCAAATTATTAACGTATGATGATGTAATATGTATGATATATTATAGATTATGTATTATTATTTTTTATTTTATTTTCTATACCTTTTCAATTTGGTGCAAACGTTTAAGTGCTTTACCCAATTTATTAAATTTAAAATAACAATCCGCTTCTTCAAGGGCAAACCACATGCATTGCATTTCCATAAGATCTGTTATGGGATCAGGAGCATCACCCTATATATTAAATATAAATATATTTAATTATTTAATATATATTCTCAAATTCATATATACAATATATACAATACATATATATATATATATATATATATATATATATATGAATACGAACCCTAGTAAATAATCCAATTGTGTTTTCTGCTTCAATAGGTTGATTGTTTCTAAGCATATATTTTGTACACTTTGAGTTGATAAATCTGTCTTGAAGGTCTAATTCACGTGCTTCATTCATGACTTTCGTAGCTTCTGAAATATTTCCTCCATGCTATATTATATTATAAAACATCATTTTAAATATATATAAATCTATAAATAAATATCTCCAGAATATTAAAAAAAAATTTCAAACCTTGAGAATTCTTCCTTTAGTCATATACAATTCGACCAGTGTTGGTGTATGTTCAATTGCTTCATCAATTGATTTAAGTGCTTTAGTGTTATCTCGCTTATTATCATAATGTTGAGAAAGTAAGTAAAGTGTCCAAAGATATGCGGTAGGTGGTTCCTTTATAATATCATCTTCATTTTCATTTTCATTGGGAGGAGTAAAAGTACCATATTTTTTTAAACATTGGAGATATCCTTCAACTAATTGTTCAATAATTTCCTCTTTTTGAGGGTTATCATAAAAATTTTTAAGATTAACAAATAATGATGGAACTCCTTTTCTAAGTGCTGCACGAATATATTCATCTACTAATGTCTTAAATCTCTCTCCTTTATAATGATAATAATTATAATTGATGAAATAATATTAAGATTCAAAAATAATATTAATATTAATATTAAATAATAATAATAATAATAATAATAATAATACTTATATAATAATAATTATAATAATTATAATTTACTGACCAGTTATGTATTGCAATGGAAACCTTTTAATCGCATTTGATTTGGGATATTTTTGTGACAATTCTTTATATATTGTAATAATTTTCTCTTCTTCTTCAGGAGTTAAATTATCTATAAAAATAAATTAACAATAATAATAATAATAATAATAATAAAATAATATATATTTTGAATATATTTTTTTTTATAATCTCTTTCTTTTCCTCAAAAATTATTCTCTTCAGTATTAATTAGATATAACTAAAACGACCTACATACTAGAATTAACATTAAATTTTTTGGCTTGATGCAATCCTTCATAATAACTATAACAATCAGGATTATCATCAATTAATTCAAGATATGCTTCTTCCGCTTCTTGGAATCTATCAAGTTTTAACAGGAATTGTGCTGAGGTCAAGAATAAAAATTAATGAAACAATGAGTTGACTTTCAAAATCGATTATTTTTATAATAGTAATGATTTATTAAAATTTACCCCTTTTTTCTTTCCATGTTCGTCGATCACATGTTTCTTCTTTAATCGATTCCAAATGTTCTAATGCAGCTTTAATATTTCCACTTTCTTCTAAAATAAGATTATGATAAAGTAACAATTCACTATATTCAAAGTTCATGGGACTAGGTTTTTCCTGTAAATTTTAATAAAATATAAATATCTTAAGTTGATGAAAATGAAAAATATATTGAAATATATTGAATAAATGAATGAATGAATGAATGAAAAAACCTTCAAAGTTCCTTCGTAGGCTTTCAATACTTTTTCGGCAGTTTCGTAATTTTCAAGTAAATGATAAGAAATTGCAAGTCCAATCCAATATCGTTGATTATTTGATCTCAATTGTAAAAGATGATGTCGCGATTCCTGAGAATATATTATATTTCCATAATTAAAAAATAAAAATTTCTTTGACTCTTTTCTTTCTTTTCTTTCTTTCTTCTTTTTTTTTTTTGCTCACATTATAAGCCTCATAATTTCGCATTTGGATTTGAAGAAGTGAATAATCTTGAAGAATTTGCATATTATCCTAATCAGAATTTATTAGACGAAATTTGATAAACTTGTTTGATTCGATCACAAAAATTTTATTATTATAATATTCAATATAATTCTATGTCAATGTGTAATACATTGTTATTAATTAATACCTTATCAATTTTTAAAGCGTTAGTATAACATTTTAATGCTTCTCCATAATTTTTATCTGATCGATGTAATAATCCATATACATGCCAGCCTATTAAAAATTTGATTGATTTATTTTTTTTTTTTGTTTTTGATATGGAATTTATTTAAAAAAAAATTCATTTAAAATTCATTTAGAATTCATTTAATAAATCATTTATAAAAAATATACAAAAGAATCATTAATTAAAAAAAATATATATATATATATATTTAATTAAATGTATAATTACAAATATGACTATTCAAATCAGATCGAAGTCCCTTGCGCACAAATTCGCGAGCTTCCTCTTTCCTATCCATGTGATTAAGAAATAATCCCTTCATCGCCAATGTCTCTGTTGTCAAAAAACACACAAAGTATTATATCTGACTTAACAAAAACTATCATGAGTATTTAAAAAAAAAATACTACAAGAAATAAATAAGAAGTATCTTTTCGCCATATATATATTATATAACATCAAATATCTACCACCGTGCTCAGAATATTTTTTAAGTATTTGCTCAGCTGCCTTCAAGCCTCTTTTATATTGCTTGAATTCATAGTATTTCTGATAAATTTATTTATTATTTATTTAAAAAATTATTTTATAAAATTGTTAAATTAAATGTTGATTATAATGTTATGGTTATAATGTTAGTCATAATGTTAGTACTGAATTCATTGCAAGCAAAACTTACAAGAATATGTTTAAATTGAGCGGATTCTCTCGAAGGTAATTCTCTCATTTTTCTTATTTTATCAAAAAAAAAAAAAAATTTTAAAAATTCATATTTATATTAGATTTCTTTTTTTTTTTTTTGCATTGATTACGAAAGTTGTGTAACCGAGGATTACTTGGATAAGGGCGGAGTAGAATTAATCCAAATAATTGTAATAATTGTGTATCATGCCGATCAAAATCTAGACTTTATTTTTTGCAAGAACGTTCATTATGAAATCATTATATGTATTAAATTTTTCATGCGCTAATTTAAATCAGCTATTGTTTTTGTCGTAGTTAAAATATTTCGATAAAATGAATCTCGAAAAATTTCCCTACTTATAAATAAATGTGTATTGTAATTGTTTTCATGAAAATTTTTTTTCTTTTAATTTTTAAATTTTATAATTTTTTTTTTTTGTAACATATATGAATGTTTATATGTGTATATATGCGTGTGTGAAAGTGCATAAATGTGTTGAATGAATGAATGAATGAATGAATGAATGAATGAATGAAGTATGAAAAATAAATAAATAAATAAATAAGAAATACACTATTTAAAATAATGCTAATTTTCCATTTATAGAAATTGTAATATATATTACAAAAAAAATTTAAATAAAAAATCCAACTACTTTTCATTTCCCTCTTTTTTTTTTATTTTTCTCTCTGTTGGAGTAGTGAACAATTAAGAGAAGATTTCATCATCATTTTACAATTAAAAGGAGATTTCATTCAAAATCAAGAGAACTCTAATGGTTCAATTAAATTGAACCCTCCTCCGCTATTATTCTTACTATGCCTTTTTAATATCTTTGAATTTTGTATATTTTTGATTTTAACCTCTTCAGCTAATAAAAAAAAATAATATAAATATTTAAATATTAATAGTTACTAAATGAAAAAATAAATAATAATTTATAATAATAAATAATAAGAAGATGAATGAATGAATAAATAAAACCTACATTCACTTTTGGTGTCATTGAAATTGATAGAATCTGATCCAATGATTATTCCATCTAAAATTCCATTATTGCTACTACTATTATTAATATTAATATTATTATTATTATTATTATTATTATTAGCAGTATTGTTTTGGGTATTATTGTTGTTGTTTTTGTTGCTGTTGCTGTTGCTGTTGCTGTTGTTGAATCCTGATTGTGGAACATTATTTATATGTGAAGGTGAAGATGATGATGAAAGCAAAGATGAAGGTAAAGTTGAAAGTAAAGATGGTTTAGTTTCAATAATGTCTGGTAATAAATGAACATTATTATTGTTGTTGTTGTTGTTGTTGTTGTTGTTGTTGTTATTGGCGGTAGTAGAATGAGTAACATTATTTCTTTTGTTAAAAAATCTACGCTTCGTTGAAGGTGGAACGAGCATTTCTGTCGTTATGAATTGTGATTGTGTTGGTAGTGGATATGTTACATTATTATTATTATTTGAATTATTTGAATTATTTTCCGGTGATAGATTTATTATTATTGGTGGCGATGAATTTTTTATTGTTGAATGATCTTGTTGATGATTATTATTATTGTCATTATCATTATTATAATAATCTACTATCGATGTTAATGACGATAATTCCATATTATTTTCTTTCGTAATAGCTTGTATTTGTGCTTGCGTTTGCGATTGCGTAGCTTGACTTCCTTTGTTACGAAAAAATGCTCCACGTTTTGGCGCAAACTTTGCAGTTACTGAACCACCATATGTTGTATCACTAATACTACCACTTTGTATCGAAGCATCATTTAAAGCAAGATGTGAATTATGAGAAGCCGATTTTGCCATTTGTGAAGTGGTGGGTGTCACGGGATTAGATCCTTTAGTTGTAATTGTTGTTGAATTATTTTTTTTATATTGATTAGAAGTTATATTATTATTGTTATTAATATTGTTATTAATATTGTTGTTATTAATATTATTATTGTTAGTGTTGTTGATGTTGATGTTGTTGTTGTTGGAAGATTGTGTAGCATTATTTGCACGATTACGAAAAAGTGAACCTGCCCATTGTTTTGCCCAACCGATTCGTTGTCTGACAGCTCTATTGTTTGAATTATTATTATTATTATTAATTTATTATTAATTTAACGTTTAATTTTGATGTTAATTATTTATATATAAAAAAAAAATATACCTTTTCGCCATTGTCACATTAACTTTACCAGAATTTTTCATCAAGAATAACATTGCACAATTACTTACAAATACCAAAACCAAAAATAAATCAAATGAACACATCCTTAATATAAATAAGTAAAGAGTAAACATCATCAATACTTTGCGGCGTTGTTTAACAAATGAAATTTCACGTAGCACTAATAATAATAATAATAATATAATAATAATAATAATAATAATAATAATAATAATAATAATAGTTAATAATATTCAATAATAATAATATCCAATAATAATAATTTCCAATAATAATAATGTCAATAACAATGATGATGATGATAATATCAATAATAATAATAATAATAGTAATAGAATTTACCAGTGAAGGATGTTTTCTTCGGATCATCAATTTCAGGGAAAGTTAATAAAGCCATAAATTGCATTGGAATTTCAAGTAATGTTTGATTCTTATTATTATTATTATTTGAAGAATTGTTATTAGTGGCAGTGATAACTTGTTTTGTTTCTATAGGAGGTCCTTCTAACCATCCTATTAATGAATAAATTAAATTATTTCCTAATGACCGCCAATCATCCACACCACCTCCACCTTCACAATTATCTGCATCCGAACTATCCGAATTCGAATCTGAAAAATCGGATTGATTAAATTCTAATCGATCAGGTGATTGATCACGATCTACTAATAATTTATTCTTTCTTTTTTCAACTTTATCAATTTTATCACTAACTATTGCAGTCTCTGATTTTGTAGATGAAGAGGATGAATTAATTGTATTAATTTCAGTTGATATTAATGGATAATTATCTTGATCTTCAATTTCTCCTGATGAATTTCCATCTTCTAACATTATTGATGAATCACTTGCATATCCATCACCATCTTCATCAAAAGCTAACTAGAAAAAAATAATTAATATTTTTATTTATATTATTTATTATATTTTTTATTATATAATTTAGAAATAAATAAATAAATATATATATATATATATATATAAATAGAACTCACATTTTCATTACTTGAACACCAAACTTTTAGCTGTTTAAGTATTTTCTTTACAGTCTTTTTACCTTCAACTTTGGTTAAAATTTCTTTATGTAGAATTTTATAATTTTCTATTATTTGATTTATATCGTCATGGTCAGCAACTAATTGATAATAATTAAATTAAAATTAAAATTAATTATGTTAATTATTTTTAATTATTTTTTAATTATTTTTAAATTATATTTTTGATTTAAATTTTGATTAATGATTGTTGTAAAAAAAAAAAATAATAATAATAATAATAATAATAATAATAATACCTCGATAATGGGGAAATCCTTTAGTAACAATTCTATATTCTGATAATTGTCTTCGTTTTGAATTGTTATTATTATTATTTTGTTGTTGTAATATGAAATAAGCCGACTCTTTAATAATTTTCCAATTTGATTTTCCTAAGCTACGTATTAAGCTTGGTCTATCAAACATCATAAAGATTTTACAAAAAAAAATTTTTATAAAATATAAAATATTTAAATGATTTTTTGAATGAATTTTAATGTTTTAAATGATTGAATTTTCTTTAATGTTCTTAACTTTCTTTTTTTGGGGAAAAACAAATTCCTTATTTATTATTTATTTATTTATTTATTTGAATTAAAAGGGAAAAATATATGTACGAGGAAAAATGATTTTGTTAATTGAATTCAAGAAAAAAAAAAAGATTTGATTATTAAAATAGTAATAAGGATAAGGATAATAAGGATAATAAGGATAACAAAGTAATAAAATATGTACAAGAAAGGTGATATATCCCTTTTATCACAGATCCTTTTATTACAAGGAAACTTTGAAGGAAAAACGAAAGAAAGAAATATTTATTTCATTTATAATTTATTAAATGTATTGTTTGTTGGCTTTTTTTTTAAAAAATTTTATTTTTTGATAAATTATTTAAAAAAAAAAAAATTAAAAGTGGCTGAACTATATATGAAATGATATGAAAATAATATGAATAAATATTGAATAATGAATATGGTAGAAATGTAATGGACAATAGAAAGTGATACTAAAGAAAAAATGAAGAAGAGAGAAAAAGGAGAAGAAAAAAAAAGAAGATTAGGAGAAAAGAATTTTCACTCTAATAAGATCTAAATAAATGAATGTCAATGAATATATATTTTTAACGGGTTCATTGTGTAATAATACGAAAAAAAAAATTATTAATCTGTTTGATTTATAATAATATATTTAATTAATTTTTTAATTTTAATTTAACTCAATCCAGTTTTTTAAAATAACAATATAATGTAAAATTATGTATTTATTTATTTTGTCATAAATTGTTTTTGGGAATTGCTCACTTCCATAAAACAATAGAGATACGGTTAAATAGAAATTACACGGAATGATTGAGTGATTGAGTAAATGAAATTATTTATAATATATATGGCACTTCGAATATGCGACATGTCATTAGTGGCGTGACCGACTTTTATTGGTGTTCCTGACGCAACGGGAAGTTTCACATCACGATAGTCTAAAATAAAAACCGAAACAATATATTGTATTATGATGAAATTATTTTTATTTCTTATTTTATCACGTAAAACTCCATAAAATTTGAACCAAATAATCTTTTTTTTTTTATTTTCATTTGGAATTTTATTTTCGAGTAGGAACTGAAAAAAACATGATCTTTAATTGAAATTAATAATAACATTTATCTTTTAATTTCGAAATTTGTGATAACCAATTAGTAACCCACGAGGCATGATTCTTGTGTAATTCATCTTGTAAACAGTTTGAAGATTTTTTTTTTCATTTACAAGACATGTTCTTATAATTTCATATGATAATTGATAACGCAGAGATGTTAAAATTTTTTATGAAAAATTTATACACTTCATAACTATAAATGGTAAAATATTGTTATAATTTATACAATGATTCCTTTGAATGGTAGAAGCTTCAGGGATTCTTTATTTTTTGTTTATCTTTATTGTTATGCAATTGATTTTTGATCATATAAAAATGACTCAGAAAACAACATAAGGACTCTATTAATTGATTCAGTTTAGTATAGACTTTCTTTTTTTATACAAGTGGAACTATTGAAGTAATACAATAATACATAGTGTTAAATCCTATAGTATATTTCATTTATTCTTTCCTTTTTCAATAGAACATAATTCTTTAATTATTTCTTTTGAATATCATGATAAGATATCTTTAAACTATTTATGTACTCAAATTATAATCGTTGTACATATGTATAAAATATATTAATATTCGAATAAAAATTTAAAAGACTTTTTTGGAGATATAGATTTAATTTAAATCTACTCTAAAAATTTCCTGTTGGTTTATGTATTAATATTTCATATCTACCAAAGATAAAATTGATTTTAAATTGTCTGCATTAAAAAAATGATAATCCTTTGGTAGTTCTGAATAACCTTTAACTAATATGTAAATATGTATATAGTACAAATTCTAGATTTTTTATTTTTTAAAAAAATATTTACATTAGCTGGTAAGGTAAAAATCAAAATGTTTACAATTTTTAACAAATGAAAATGGAAATACGTTTAACATTTATTAAATCGAGAGATGGTTTGATCCATTCATACATGTGGACATGTACACGATACGTTACGTTACAAAAAAAAAAAATAAATTGCACATGCCTTTTTCATTTTTTGTAATTCTGAAAGAATATTCTAAATCATTTCTAAAAGTAAATTTTCTGGAAATTCTATTTTATCAATTCTAGAAAATTAGAAAATTACTTGATTTGATTTGACGTAAAATCTTAAATCGGTCATGCAGAAATCTTTTTTTAATTAATTTTGTTTACCAGATTTGGGAAAATTTATATATACAATTTATATATAGAAATTTATATATAGAATAAATTTGTAATTGTTTATTGGTTACATAAGTAGTTATATATAAATTATACTACAGTAACGTAAATATATCTTTCGATTCTTTATCCCAATAAATGTAAAAATGTCTTGTTAAATGTGGAATCAATGGAATTTATTTATCTCAATCAATGTCTTATAAAACGTGGAATCAATGAAATAAACTTGTCCTCACCATATTTTGTAAATGTATGCATTTGATATTTTATACTTTTAACTATTTTTTTTGTGCCTCTAGTATTAATAGTCTTAACTGATTGCTTTAGAGTTGCATCGGATCTTAAAATTAATAGTTATTGTTTACATATTTATTATATCCAACTGACTCTGTGTAAGCCCAATGTATAACTTTGAACCAGATTTACGTAATAAGGATTTATCTTCTATTAAGATGTTTCTCAAAAGATCTGGTTTTAAACTTTATAATCAAAGTTTAATTATCCTTCTAGTATTAATCAAGTTATCATTGTCCAAAAGCAATGTATTAAAAAATTAATTTCCAATTGATTTTTCTACTAAAAAATATTTTTAATACCATTCGAGACCTCTCATTTTAGGTTTTATAATGGTTATTAAATCATCCTTCTATAATTGATATTCACTAAGTATTGACATCCTGGATTATTTATTAAAATATAAAAGTATTAAGTATCCAATAAATCTCTATTCTAATTCCAGGATTTGCTTCAAGTTGTTCATGTTGGCCAATGATAAATATATATTTCCTTCAATAGGTGAAGCAACAAACTCCTTTTCAATGTCAATTGTTGCATCCTCTATTTCATTATCATCTAATATTTCCTTTTTCATTTTTGAGTTGTTCAAATATCATTTTATTTTTTGATTGAACAATCTACTTTCCACAGCTTCATCTTGACAACATCAATATAATAAGTTTTCTTTATCTTCTTCCAAATGGCTTCCTTAAAATAATAATTTTTTTTATTCTTCTTAATACTAATCAGAAAATAATTTTCAAAACTCATTTTTATTGAGAATTTTGGTATCAAGAAATACAGTTGACCCCTCTACAGTTATCTCCTATACAGTCACATCATATAAATAACCATATATTTCAAATGAAAAGTGATTATATAAAAGGATTTTTATAATCACACTTTTTATTTTTGGTTCCTATGGTCTTAAGGAGTATGCTTTTAAGGGGATTGACTGTAATTTGAATATCTTTTGGCTTAAAACTTTATCATTAAACCTAAAACAGACAGGTAGACTTGTTAACTTGCATATTATTTACATAAATACTATTATAAAAACATTATTATATTATAAACTGATTATGTCTACTGTACATCTAAAAAACTTCAAGTAATTGAAAAATTTAGAAAAATTAAGTATCTACCTGATGAATTTATGTACAAATATTATTCTACTAGATTTATATATTTTATTCAAGTTTTAAAAATTAATTTAGATTAGGCTTATATGTATATAGAAAAATGTAATGAGACTTGTAATATAAAAACTGAACAAATAATAATCAAGAGATATTCCTTTGGAGTTGTAAAACTGAAAAACATCAGTAGAAATATTCATATCTATTGATAACAACAAAATTTAAATGGTATCTACTTTGTTTATAACAATTTACTAATGAGTGATGAAATTGAAGATCATCTACATCCAAATTTCTAGATGAGCACTTAGATAAATATTAATAGAAGATATCTAAAGCTGTTGTCATCAACAGTTCCTGGTTTCCTTGAGGTCAAGCCAGTTGAGTAACTTAATGGTTTTTTTAAAGAGTTTATAGTTTTTTTTCAAAGGTAAGATTGTTATTTGATTGTCTTAAAAGGTATTACTAATTCAATTATTTTAGAAAGAAATCAAACCTTTTATCTAGTTTATTTTGATATTTTTTCAATTCATTATTACAAGGTGATTGAGAATTAAAACTTAGAATTTTTTTATTAGTTATGTTCCAGTTTATTATAATTAAATATTATTTCAATTCCAGAATTTATAATAATGGTTTATAATTAATTTCATTAATTCAAGAATAATAATATTATATAATTATACAATTAAGTATTTAATCTTATATCTATTATTCTTTTATTAACTATTATATTTTTGTATTTAATAATTATTTTTATAATTTTTATTTTATATTTTCAATATTTATTTTTATTAATCTAATGACAAAATAATTTTTACAAGTTTTTATTTTAAAATTACAAATTATAAATGTAAATTATTCAAATATTATTTATTATCCTAGATAATGATCAGAATTACAACATATAATTATAAGACTAAAAATATGGGTTCATATACTGGTATTAAATTTAATAATTTGTAACAAAAAAAATAAATTTTTACAAGAAAGTATGTGACTTCTATTTAATTATATATAATAAAAGATTTCATTCTGATCTATTCTTTAATTTTATTAAGTAATATTTAAAGAGAGTTCATCTATTTTCCCTTCCGTTACAGATATTAAATCATCATCTGATAAATGTATCTACTTTCGTAAGTCACTAGTATCATCATCGACCAAGGACACAAAAGAACAAATATAGATAAAGATTGAAGGATTTTATCATTAATAGTAATTTCAACATAATAATAATTATTTATTTTCAACTATTGTAATACATGAGTAACTTTATCACAAAGAATATTGAAATTCTGGAATGTTGTTAACTTCGCAAACTGTCAATTTATAATTTATATATTTATTGATAATAGATATTGAGAAAGTTATATTGTTGATCCTAGTTATCAAATTTTATTATTACTATATTTTTATTTTATTCATTTATTATATTATTATTTTATTATTATATATTAACTTATTTATAATTATATTTTATTAGTATATATTATATAGGAAACTATTAGTGTAAATTATTTAGAAATTAGTATAACTATTAGGTATTACGACTGTAGATCTGAGTGTAATTAACAGTGTAATGTATAGTGTAATCAATAGTGTATTCAATAGTATAATGAATAGTGTAATAGATAGCGTAGTAGAAAGTGTAGTTAATAGTGTATACATTAGTGTAACTTATAACGTAATCTATTATAATTTCAATTATGTATATAAAAGGTTGAATTTCTCTTTGCTCAGTTCTTAATTTCATTCGAGTTCGATAGTTAACTCTCAGTTCTTGTTAATAAAATACTTTGTGATTTGTCTTATAAATAATACTCTTGTGAATTATTATTTATACAGTTGTAATTTTTTAGTGAAATTCTATATTATTCCTTGGTGAAATACTAAAACCCTTTTTAAATTATATCTTGCTTTGTAATCTTAATATATTGTTTTTGTATTATAATTCTTTATTTAGTGTTATCGCTCTTTGCAAAATTATGCGGTCATGTGAAAATTTGATAATATAATTGATAGGTATTCGAATACCAAATAAA